AACAAGGATTGAAATGAAGTTTTTTTTTTTTTTAATGTTTTAAATATAAATAATAAAATTTAGAAGCTAAATATATATAAACAATATAACTTTTGAGTGCTAGATATGTATTGTAAATCCCCCAAACAACAAAACCCTAACTGGAATCCTTTGGCCTTCCTTCCTTTTGATACGTCAAGGCGCCATTAAATGGCAGCTGCGCAAGCCGAGCATTGGCTCGCCGCCTCGCTCGCAAATAGAAGACAGCCACAACGACTACAATAACAACGATGAGGACGAAAAGGAGGAGCTTTTCCCCGTTCGCCCTAACTTTTAAAGGCGCTGCGCAGTCTGCGGAACCTCGCACTACGCCCTGCGGCGCCGGCGCAACCTGGGCGGCGGGCGGCGTGGAGTAAAGGTTGAAGAACTGATATGCTGAAGGCGGAAAAGCCATTGGATTCTCTGAGAAGAGGCCGTGAAGGAATCTAGGCTGAGCAGCATGGATTTGGATGGTCGGAAGAAAGAATATGAAGAAGAGAAGCTTCGCCGAGGCCATTTGGGCTTACTGCTGTGATGTGATGCTTTGGGTTTGGTGGGAGGGATTTATAGAAGGAGATGCCTGTGGCTTCTCCGTTGAAGTATTGAAGAAATGGAAGCCATTATGTAAGTAGACCCAATAGCCACATGACTGTGTGGGGATTTTGCTTCTTAAACCAGCAACGGAAAATCAAACAAAGAAATTATCTGGTGTAAAGTAATTAAGTTTAATATGAATTAAACAAAAAGATATTTATTTCATAATTGATATATTTATCCAATTATAAAAAATAATTAGCAAAAAAGTTTTTCAAATGATGTAAAAAATTGTAATAAATTAGAACTAATGACAACTATTTGAAAAATAAAATATAGAAATAATTGAAAAAATATCTGGCAAAATATTATAATACAAATATGTGTCATGATAGTTTAAAAATTATTTGATTTACTTTAAGATTTGTGCAACATGATTTTCATAATAAGTTTAATAATTTTCATTCTATCCTTATTATTATTAGATATCCTCACATAAGTCTTCATAATCTATATAATTTAATTATAAAATTTATTTTTGTTATTATGATAATTTTAGAAAAATAATTAAATTATAAAAATTAGAAATATGGTAAATTTAAATTAAAAAAAAATTCTGTACAGTATTTCTTTCTCCTCCATTTGATAAACTTGGAATTATTACAACAGCAGAAACGCATGAAGGACCTACGTTGATGCGTGCACGTTAATTAAAGCACGTCACGCTCTACTTTGTGCTTCTATATGTGTAGCTTTATATTTAACTCTTCACGGGGAAGCGGCACTTTTTTTGCAAGAGTGGGCAAGTTTTTTTAGTAATTAAATAATAATAATATCAAAAAAATAATATTTTAAAAAGTATAACTAGTAAGGTAATATTACTAAATTTGTTAGAGGAAACTATAAGTAAGATAATAATATGAAAGTTTTGAACTTTTATGTCAATTAGAGCTCTATAGCCCCCGCTCTACTTTAGCCAATTAGGCCACTCTTCGCCGGGCTGGGTCCGTGATAATGGAGCTGCTACGTGACGCCAGATTACTGGTGTCCGGATGTAGAGCTACATCAGGACACCGGACCCAATAAAAATTCCTTGGGGGGGGGATTCAGGCTTTTTCCATTTCAAGTCCTCAATCCACCTTCTAAGATCACGCAATGCTTCAATTGTAGAGAGAGAAAGACTAATGATGTAAAATATTGATAGACATAGAGAGGAATGACTTTCCATTGTGGAAGGAATGATGAAAAGAAATTTTGACGCAGAGTTGCTCGGAGGAATTAGTACGAGATATCTCCTCTAAAGGATTTGACTAAAGCTAAAATTGAAAGCCTAAAGGGGATTAAAGATGCTTGTTTTAGTGGCTTAAAAGAGCAACAAGTTTGCCAATGAGTAAACATGCTCTAATTTTTGTAATTTTTTATTTTAAAGTTATTTATTAATCGAGAGAAGCCACAAACATTTTTTTGACACATGAAAAGTATCAATAGTTCGTTTGCACCTTTACTCCTATCTCGCGACTCACGAGTCACGACCTCGAGTATGGCTTTTGTTTTCCCTTTCGCTCCTCTCTCGCCCCAAATGAAGATCGCCCATGGCAAATGTTTATGTTTTATAAGCTCTAAAAGCCATGTTATTTGTATTCTTAATTTTGATCTTGCAGCTCCGCTTGGCTCCAGTAATGAAAAGGCAAATTGAACTTTTGTAATATATTCTAACATTCCAAATGAGACAACAAATATAACTTTCTTCCTCATTCTCATTTAAGTTTCATGTCCTGCGTTCACATAGTTGGTCTATTTGTAAGGTCGGGTGTCTTCCATAAAAAAAAATTGAATCCAAAATGTTATGATTTAACCAAATAGATTAAAATTTTAATCTATCCATCTAATTATTTAATCACTATTTTCATCATGTTTATACTTTTATTAGTACAAGTTTTGAAGGCTGTAGAGTAAATGAATATTAATATAATAATATTGAATAAGTCATACAAAATAATTAAATAATCTAGAAAAAGGTCTTTCATCAAGCTTTAGATGAGCTACTTGTTCAATAAGAACAAATAATTAATTATATACAAAAATATAGATGAACAAACATCCCAATGCTCATACTCATTTATCAATAATTTTTAAATAGCTAAATAAAAAAAATTGTATAAATAATTACTAAATTATTCATCAAATATTTGCTCACAACACTTCCAATCAATACAAAGGAAATGATACCCAAAGAAAGCAAAAGGTAAATGTATAGTATAGCAATGGCTAAAAACAATAGAAGAATGAACATTATAAATTGTCACAATAAACATATTATTTTTAAATATAAGACTTTATTTTATGTTACTAATAATCTACAATTGTTGATAAAGGCTAAGGAGTATATGATAAAGTGTTAATATATGTCTTAAGCTATATATTAGTAGTTTTATTTTGAGCTCAAGTAATCAAATTTGAATTAAATATGTTTTATTGAGTGTTTTAATTAGTATATAATGAGATATTATGTAAACACTAATCACCCTAATTTCAAGCTTGACTATTACTTATATTTAATTGTCTTAGTATTTATATATAATTACATAAATATTTTCTATTTTCATAGGCTCTCTTAGTGGGTGATGTAAAAATCAAAGACTCATTTTCTTCTTGATATTTCACCAAAAAAAAAAAAGTCAAGATATCTTGATTAAAATTCAATGATGATGGACTTTCATTGCACATGAATTTGTTTAATTTTTAATATAACATATAGTAGTGTTGCGGGCTAGAATATACGCGGTGATAGAGTTAGAATTCTACGTCTCAACGTTGTACGGATATCCAACACACAAACAAAGAACACAAGATTTTTTACGTAAAAAATCCTAAAAAAGAGAAAAATCATGGGGTCATGCCCAATCGAAATGATTCCTCTAGTATTTGAATATATTACAAGTGACTGATTCATCCTCAAAATTGAGAATTATCAAATTACAATAATCAACCGTGGGGTTGAAATCTAGTGACAAACAGAGGTCCGATGACGTTTGGTGATTAAATGGAAATTCGATGTTAGTTGGAGGCCGGGTGGAAGTCCGGCGTCAGTCGGTGGCCATGCAAAAGTCTGGCGTCAGTTGGTGGTTGGGAGGAAATCCGGTGGCCTGGTGGAAGTCTAGTGGTGGTCGAGAAGGAGTCTAGTGACAAAAGAACTCTAGTTTTTCTCTATTTTTTCTCTTCCTTGCTTGAGTCCCCTTCCATGTGGAATGAATGATCTTTTTATAGTTTTCTAAGAGTGACATGATAATTAAAGATGAGGGAGATCAAATATGAGGTGAGAGTGGTTTGGATGAACAATCGATGTTGATCCCCTTACTTGTGCATTGTTTAATGGGCATTTGAATGTTTTAATGATATCATAATTTGATGATCTTGGGCTCGTTGGATTCGTCTCGTTGTGCCGCTCGATTCAAATCTAAGAATGTCTTGTTTGGAAATCATTTGGTCATCCAACTTTTGGTTTGATGAATAATGATAAAATGTACATTGAGTGTGTTATATTAAGAACTAACTTAGTATTAAATAAAATATTTTAGGTCCAAAACATTCCTTAAGAACTACCTTAGTTTTAAATAATTTAATCATAAATAATAGTATGTAGATTGAGTGTATCATATTAAACAATATGTCAATCAAGACTTAGGCCCTCAACTTATTAGATTAAATTCATATAATCTTAAAAAAAGAAAAAAACTTAGATTAAAATATTATAATTAATATTTTAGTTATAATGAATATCAAAATTATTCAATTTTTATTTAAAATTATTATAAATTTTAATTTACTATTCATATACTATATTTATTTAAAAATACATAATAATTAAATTCTAGTAACAATTTTTTTGAAATATATTTTAACATAAATTGAACATATTTAAAATTCATTAAATTCATATTTTTTATGAATAAATTTTTCATCTATGAAGCCTATCACATTTTTTTAATTTTTTTTTTCACACTTCTTTTACTAAAACATAAACATTCCCTCCCTCTCTCTCTCTTGCCCCTTCACTCGTCGCAACGAAAAATTATTAGGTGTGAAATGCGCACCGTCCACACAAGTACTGGGTACCTAGCGGTATCCAGCGGTACGGAGTGGGATACCGCTAGGTACCCAATGCTTGTGCGGAAATTATCTAATTAATTAGTTAATTTTTTTCAAAATAACTAATTATTTAAGTAATTCTTCTACTAATAATTTAATTTTTTTTCTACTAATAATTTAATTAATTTTTAATGTATTATTTAATTAGGTTTTATTATTAATTATCTCATTAATCATTTAAATATTCTCTTACTAATTATTTATTTAATATTAAATTGTTAATTATATAAGAATTATTTCTATTTCAAATTATATTAATTAAATCATTTATTTGAAGATTTAATTACTATTTATTTAATTAATACTGTTGCTTTTCCTCGTCGCCGTTTTCGTTCGTGCTTCGCGTAAAGGTTGTAGGCTTCGAGTGAAGTAGTGTGTTCGACGACGTTGGATCGGAAGTCACGACGGGAGCTCGCTCGCTGCGAAGGTAACCATCTTTATCCCTTTTGCGCGCTTCTTCGCTCAAATCCGTTTGGCCGGATTTAGCATAAATCCTGTTGCCAAACAGCCCCTTGTAGCTCTTCCACCCGCCGGCTTACCCACCCGCCGGCGTTCGTCTGTAAGAGGAAGCGGAGACAGCCGGCCGCCATTGTTATCCTCTTGTAAAGGTGTGCAACAGCATCACTTCGTGGTCCCACCCTTTCACTCTGTGTGTTGCACTGTTTTTTAGTAGGGGGATTTAGGATGCGCTAATTAGCAACCAAGGGGAGCAAACACAGCACACAAAATACTTAGCAAAGGCGAGGGTACATGATAATGACAAGGCAGTATTTCATTTTTATCATTTATAATCCATCAATCAAACCCTAACCCTTCTATATGTAATAAGAGGGAAGGGCTATACATTTATAACCTTGCAGGACCTGACATAGCAAGCTTATTAGAATAAGATATTTTATATCATTGTAAAATCATAATATGTATATTGACATAAATATAAGATACCAATAATGAAAACCTTAACTAATACCTACTAATTTAGGTATTTTGTTTTGTATCAATTCTTGTATACCCAAAAGAATTCTTCTCTTGACGAGTTTGGTAGAGGCTTTTGAGGTGGATAAGGTGATATAGTAATTGTAGTTGTCTTAAAAATTCCTGTATCAAGTGGCAAGATTGGGCAGCGCTATAGGGCATCTCCAACTGAAGAACTCATTTTCCACTCCAAAATGCAGTAAAATTCCAAAATGTAGTAATTTATTTTCAACCGAACTCCATTTCTTAACACCAAGAAAAGAATATTTTGTATAGATTCTTTCTCATTTTTTTAAAATTTATTTCTTAACACAAAAAATTGGCATCGATGATCAGCGCGGAATCACCAAATTTTGGCATGCAATTTAGCTTTTGAATGAAACGAATGGCGAACGACATACCACCATATGCAGTTTAGTTGGAGATGATCTTAGCCAATAATAGGGGGAAGTGCTTGTCAAGTTGTTCATTTGCAAACCATGAATCCATAATTGAAGCTAGTGGTGTGGGCATCCTATGTAACACAAATTCGATAATCTTAAGATGCAGTGAAGTTGGATGATCATCATCCAGCATGGTGAAGTATGTTGAAGATCTTGTAACTCATAAATAATCATGAAGGTGATCTAGGCCGAGGAAGGCTTTGGCCAAGGGTTTGCATCTATGAATCCATATGCAACACAAGTTGTTCTTCCTAATCGTCCTCATCATTAATGATGGGATTATCATCATAGATGGCTTCATATATCTCAAGTGACTTGGCTTGGGAAAGGCCATGCAATAATATTGTGATCTAATGCTTTTTGGAGATAACAGTAATAGCATAAACTTCTTCATGAATCTACTTGCATATTAATACTAACGTGCTAAATAGGTTTAGTGAACATAGTAAGTTGGGGGATAATGATATTCATATTTATGGTGAGTGAAGAAGCATTTTAATATAAAAAGGTTTGAAGGGATTGATCTAAGTGAACAAAGAATGCAAGGTGGACATGCATGCTGGGAAATGCTTGATGTAGGTTTGTAGGGTTTTAAAAAGTTGGCATTATTGCATTTTTATACAAAGAGGCCTTTTTTTTGGTAGTGCTTCTAATGGTAAGGATATAGATATAAATCATGTGATAGAGTTTGAAAGAGATGATGGTGAGGATGTTGATTATGTAGTTGATCAAAAGTTACTATTTTCTTAAATGTTGATGAGTTGGACAGTGAAGGCTCTGATCCTTAGATGAGTATATTAATTAGTAGATAAATAAGTTTGGACATAAACATAGATATAGAGCATGTACTTGATGACATAAGTGATGGAACCGATTATGGATGACAATCTACGAGGGATGAGAAGAGCTAAAAAATTTTTTTAAGTGGGAATCCATATTAAGTCACTAATGATAAGGTTGGCCAATTTTTTGCAAATACGCATCATATAGAAGAGGTCTTTTTTTTTTTTTTTTTGAAAATACATAGGAAAGTTCTTTTGAAGATGTTGTTTGCCTGATGAAATTACAATGAATAAGATAAAAAATGACACCAAAAGGTTTATCCAAAAATTTTCCTCTTAAGGATGTATTTGGTGGATTAATGTATAATTTTTTAAGGATGATGTTATCTTCAAAATAAATAAGCTCAATAATACGCATAGTTGCATAAGGATCTCAACTAACAAGGTGGTTACATATAAATGGATTGTTGTAGAATTCGAAGAGTAGTCGTATGCTGATCCTAAATGAAGCATGACTTAGTGAGGCATGAATATCAGAAGAAATATTACATTAAAGTCATTGTCCTAAACTTATGGTGGGCTAAAGCAAAGATGAAGATTTAGATTAAGGGAAATTATAAGGAGTATTTCAAGTTATTGCCAAAATATGCAAATATCCTTTTAGAATTCTCACAATAGAGTCAGACACTAGTTATATATGATACCAATCTCTCAAATTAGTTATGAAATTCTAGAATTTTATAGATGTTTTGATACATTGAAAGAAAATGTTTGGTTTGTTGTAGGCCGTTGCTTTGCATTGATGAATTTCTTTTAAAGCTTCTTATGGAGTATATTTACTAGCTACAATCGGTGTTGATGACAACAATTATTCATGCCTTTTAGCTAATAATTGAGATTGAAAATCAGGCAAGCTGGAGGTGTGTGTTGAACTCGGCAGTGGTTTATGATGGATCGAATCCATTTCTAGCAATTATATATGACAAGAAAAAGCCTTGAAAACTATCATTTAATTAAAGTCTGTATAATTCTTATTAGTTTTTCTATTGACATTATGTTGACCTATGCATAATGTTATGCCAAAAGTCTTGATGAGGCCATTGTAGAATGTTTCCCATGTGCCAAGTAGAGATGTTGTTGTAGGCGTGCCATTCGATAACTTCAAGAAGGTCTTCCTTGGACCGGAATTGTGGAAGAGCTTCTAGATTGCTGTGAAGGCTTTCATGGCCTTCATCCTTTACAAAGAAATGGGTTGCCTCGATGCTAAAAAGGCATGATGGCTGACACCCCACTACAAAAGAAAATAATGTTGTTTTGACATTGTTTTGATGTGCTTGTGAAAGCAAATCATGTTAGAAATAATATAGTGGAATATTTACTAATTGGAGTAAACATGATTGAAAAGGTTAGAGTAGCTCCAGTGGAGGATAAGATTAGAGAGAGTCATCTTAGATGGTATGGTCACATAAAATGGAGGCCTTCCGATGACCCGGTTAGGAAATGTAGATGTATTAGATTTGACTTATGTTAAGAAGGGTAGAGGTAGACCGAAAAAGACTTGGTTAAAAAATATTAGAAATGACCTTTCTTTATAGATTTAAATGAGAATTTAACTTTTAATAGAGCACAATGGAGAAAAAGGATTCATATAGCCAACCCCACATAGTGGGATAAAGGCTTGATGTTGTTGTTGTTGTAGTAGACATGATTGAGAGAAATACATACTTACCTTCCCGGAGAATTTGAGGTTGAAGATAATTGGGAGGTTCAACCAATGAAAAACAAGGAAATTAAGATGGTGGAAATATTGACTCTCGTAATAATGCGAAGTGTTGGCTAGAATAAGAATTATTCCAAGAGAATGAGAGTGATTACCCCTAGTCAAGAAGAATTTCAATTTATTGCTATGGTTTACAAATTTGTCGTGAACTTATTAGGGCAGAGGCAAGGCTGTGAGTGTAGAGTTTACGATATTAGTGAAATTCCTTGTAAACAAGCTTTTGTTATGGCATTACATACAATAGGGATGACTCAGAATGGTCTTGTCCTAGTTACTTCAAGATAAATGTTTACATGAAGGCTTAGGATTTTAATTTTACATGCAACACTGATGTAAGAAACATGACCCACGAAGCAGGTGAGAAGATAATTGCACCTAAGTTTAGGAGGGAGTTGAGAAGTATTAGGAAAAGTAGGAAGGAGGGCAAAGAGACCTTAGCTGGCGAGGGAATTACCACAAGTCAAATTTAGGCCATAGTAAGAAGGCATGCACCCTTCTTGTTGGAATCAACAAGAAGATGAAGTACAAGGTACAGCAAAAAAAGAGAAAAAAAAAGAGAGAAGTTTTGTATTCTTCATCATTATGTTGAATGAATATTGATTTATTTTGTGTATGCAAGAAGCAGAAGTAGTGTAATGTATAAATGAATAAGGATCACAAGGACTGGAATGATCACCCTCCTCATAGTGGGAGGAAAGTATGAATTTAGATTAGTTTTTGAGGTGAAGTGGTTGTGTTTTGAACAAGAAGCTTTGTGTAAGCTTAGAGGCAGTTTAGCTTCTATTTTCTAAGATTATTGTGAATTATTGTGCATTGAAGTTTGCTAGAACTTGTTTGAATAAGATGCTTTTTATATTGTAAGGTTCACTAAACCGGGTTTCTTGATGTTGTATAGTTTAGCACGCCTACTGAATGACAAAAAAAAAAAAGTATAATGTCCTCATACAAATTCTAACAGTGAAGCTTCCTCTGAAGCACATGTTACAGAAAAAAAACTTTAATTGAGCTATATTTTCTTGAATTACTACTGCATTCCTCTGAAGCGTATGCAATTCTTGGGTTATATTAGCTGGGTTGTTCTTCAACTAATCAATTCCAGCTTTCCTCCAAATTTTAACGGTGCTTCTGGATTCTTTGACTTGTTCTTTGTGAGTTGAATTTGTGTAGAACAGTAGAAGTTGAAGTTGGGTTGATGGCATTAGGTGCACGCCACAGTTGGACTACACACAGATTGATTGCACATGAATACAGCTTGTCTCGATTTACAAATGATTCCGATATGTTTACTACTGCACATTAGCTGCACTTGCAAAGCTTGTTCTTGAACCTGAAAGCTGAAGGTGAAGAAAAGCTAAATTTGTTGCTTTGGTTTTTCGCGGGAAGACTCTGAGAATAGAATTAGAGTCCTATGTGAAGTATTGATGGCTCTGTGGCTTTGAAATAAATAAGGAGATGAAATTGTGATTTTATAGACCAATATGATATTTTTTGTAGTAGAAATATACAATGTTTGACTAATGGTCACGTTTTTTATCACATGAGCCTACTTGGTGGCTAATTTTATTAGATGCTAGGCGGTTGTTATAATGACAGCTAAGTTGGAGGACCTAATTTACATGAAAGTGCTAGATATGTAGATGCAAGGCTTAACGTTATCAGGGCATTAATTACCTTAAAGAAAATAAACAATTAGTTTTTGCAATGGAAAGAAAAACATGTACTGATAAAATTGGAGATAGAATTAATGTGAAGGAAATTTGAAGCAAAGGTGTAGAACAATGTGGTAGGCAGAAGTTGTGCAAAAAAATTACATAAACTATAATTAACATTTGATACAATGGAAAGCAAAACATGAACTGTTCTCAAATTGTTGGGATAAGATGATGATGGTGAATGAGGTCTGGTTTTAAAATGCATACCTATTGGCTATGAGCATTTAGTTTCCTAACTGCTTAAAGAAGCTCTTGTAAAATGTTGATAATGTATGATTGTGATTTTGTTTCTCCAAATGGTTATTTAGTTTTACTCTCGAAGGTTCTTTCCATTTGAGAAGGCAAGTCGTGTTGAAGAATTTATCTCCATCTTTCTCACAAAATTTATTTTCTTTTTTGTGATTCATGCTGTGAAACTGTGCTTTTTGCTGAACTGTAACATCCTTATTTTTTCTTACTTTCAATGCAGATCTCTTCTTGTTTTATTTAAATTCCTAGTAACTCATGTGAAGTATGATTTAAAGGCTACGTTTTATTGGTTCGGCTGGCTTGATTTAAATGTTTGTTTTGTTACTGATATATGTGACTAGCTGAGAACTAGTTCTCTATTAGTTAGCCATCTAATCTCAATGATTACTAAATGGACTTTAATATCATGGCTGTAGGCTTCTACGAGGATGTTATCTGCTGGAATTGTTTCTTTCTACCATCCAGGTCTTTCCCATTAGTATCTTATAAATTTTTTTTTAAGATCTTTCCAGGTGATAAGTTTGTCTTCTAGGTTCTCTCTTGCTCTGCAGACATGAACCGCCTGTCTCCACTTGGCCATCTACCAAGATCCATCATCAAATAAGTTTGAGAATGGTCTGCATTCAAATCATTCACTTCTTGCATTACTAAGAACTTAGGCTTTGTTTGAGACAGCTTTTTTGGTGCTTCTTAAAGCAGCTTTCTAGTAAAAAAGGAAAATTTTTGTACTAAAAAGTTACTTTGAGAAGCAATAACAAAGCCGTTCCAAACTAAGCCTTAATTTATCATTTATTTTTATGAGCTTAGTTTTTATTGTAACAAACTCTTAAATTATATTATTTTTCTGCAGCATTCTTGCTTTTTCCCTTCACAGGTTTTTGAGGGATCATTTCAGCCTTCCTTTCATTATTATAGGCACATAAAGTGTGAAACAGCAAGACGAAATGGCTATCATGGTTTTTCATCTGATGATGGGTTTGACCAAAAACCATTTTGGTTGACAATGGTTCATGATATTGCACAGTAAATATCAACTTAATTTAAACTAGATAAGATACCTCGCTATTATCGTGCTTGTTTATTTATTTACAGAGCCTTCTAACTGCTTTTTCCCTGAATTTCTGCAGGAGTTTAAGATCTCTAGCTCTTTTTTTGCTCGAGCAGCCTAGTCAATTGAAGTACATTGAGTGGCCTCCTCTTGAAAGCACGGTTTGTATTCCTAGCTACTAGAAATAGCAGAAACTCTTGCATTTTGTAAAACTATTGATGGTATTATAGACTTCTTCTCTTTTGAAAAGTCAGATAATATATTTTTTATAACTACCACTAATATTTGATTATAAAAAGTTGCTCCTCACCGTATAAATTTCTGAAAAAATAGTAAAAAAGTTGTGGCTAAACATAACAGTGGCAGTTATCTGGAAAACAAAATTGTGAAAATTTAGCTCCCAGCTGGTCTTAGAATTAATCGCAGAAGGGGCCAAGTGATCCCTTTCTCTTATAGATCATCATGGCCCCAGTAAAGAGAGAAGAGTGGTTAAGGCCTCGTTTGGGACGGCTTTTTTATTGCTTGTTAAAACAGTTTTTCAATACAAAAGTTAAAATTTTTGTACTAAAAAATTGCTTTAAGAATAAGTAAGAAAGTCATCCCAAACGAAGCCTAAGAGTTGGGGATTTTTTTCTTTCAAGTCTCTATTACTTCCTCTTGCTAATTTTGGATTTTCCTGGCTAAACTAGAATTTTTCCTCTTACATTTCTAAAATTGTTTGTTGTTTTCACAAAGTGATTTTTTTTTTGGGACATTTAGGCCAATTAAGGCAAACTCACACACACAACGCATACACATAGACTCGAACCTTGGACCTCTTAGTTGGAAGCCTAAGCTCTCAACCAATAGGCCAAGGAGAGTTGTGTGTCACAAAGTGATTTTCATTTAGCTTCCTGCAATCCAATCATTTTGGTTAATATTTCTACAGGCGAAGACGGCTACCCTCACCCTTATTCTTGTAGCTCTGCTCATTGTTTCATTGGCTTCTGTTGACTCATTTCTCTGTTACATATTGGCCCTCCTCGTCAGAAAAACTGCATGACGACAGGTATTCTACGTTACAATCAACAAATCAGTCTCTGTGTGCGTAGAAGTTTATCTTAGAAAACTAAAGCCCCGTCTCCTTTGATCTGGAATTTTTTATATTAATCTTCTTACTTTCTGGTTTGGTTTGGGATAGCTCTGTTACTATGATTTTAAAACCGTATCTATAATTTATATTTGGCCATTGTTTTGTCACAGTTTTCAAGAAATTTTTAGACATGAAGCTGCTTTCTATAATAACTTTTAAAAAAGTTAGTTTCTCCTTTACAGTTTTATAATTATCTTTATAAAAAATTACAACAATTTCAAACACACCCTTAGTTTTACAATTATCTTTATAAGGTTTCGTTTGGGACGGCCTTCTTCTTTCTTTTTAAAACAACTTTCTAACATAATTTTTTTTTTTGAATTTGAAAATTTTATATTAGAACTCCGTTTCAAAAAGCAGTACGAAAGCTGTCCCAAATGAAGCCTAAGAAAGATATAAATAGCTGTAGACCTTTAGTTTATGATCTGAATAGCAGAATCTGTAGTCTGCTTTGCAGTAGCTGCATTAGCATTTTATACTTCCAACCAACATTTTGATAAAAAGCTTTTGGAAGCTTTAGCATATACTGTATGGCCTTATTTTATAAATAACATATGCTTCTATTATTGACTTTGTTATGGCTTTGGGCATTAATGGACAAGAAACTTTTGAATTCTTGCATCTCTATGAAGACATATTGACACAAGGTTTTCATAACCGGACCGGACTGGCCGGTTCGACCGGTTCAACTGCGAACCGGTCCGGCGGGCGGTCCGGAGAGAGTGAGCAACCGTGTGTTTTAATAACCGGGTAAAAACCGATTGAAATCCCGGTTGAACCGCTGAACCGGGGGGTTCTGAAATAATTGGCTGGTCCATTAAAGCTCTAATTTGAGCCCTTGATTTGCGATCTAACGGCTGGGTATCGGTAATTCGGTATTAGTGTATTACTTATTCGCTCGTCTGGTTTGCCCTACCATACGCAAACGGTGGAACGAGACTCGGAGCCTCGGACGATCCCGACGGAGGTTCCGCGAACGAGACTTCTTCTTGACTTCTTCTCCCTCGTCTGACCTCCCAGCCGCCGGCGAACATGTTGGGGAAGAAGTTACTTCGCTTTTGGCCTCCTACTCGACCCGTCGAGCTCAGCCTCGCTGGTTCTTAAATTTTTTTTGGGTAATTTTTTATGCATTTAAGCTTGCATTTATTCTCCAAATCGTCTCAATATGCTTGCATTTCTTCTCCATTTCTGCTTGGTATGATTTGTTCAGTTTCTGTGGCATTATGGTAACCCTAATGTTAGTGTTAATGGGCATTAAAATGTTTATTTTATATGAAAATAGAATATTGAATGAATGAATTACAGGAAAATTTAATTTTTATTTTATTTTTTAAATAATATTATTATTTATTACGTCATCCGGTTTGACCCCGGTTTGACCGGTCGAATCGTGAACCTCTCATTCTTCTGGTTCGTTGTCCAATCCGGTTCTGAAAACACTGAATTGAGAGCAATATATCTGAGTACTGTATATAATAAGGGGATTTCCATCCATATTAGTTTATATTTATATATAATTTTATTTTAGATAAATTAATTTTAATGATGTTTTTTATGTTATTTAAAAATTAGAATGTTATATAAATAAATTAAATATTTAGATGTCAAATATTTAAATAGTTAAAATTATTGATATGTATTTAAATCTCTAATATTCTTAATGTATTTGAGGGGATGTTTGGTTTCAAATAGCATGTGTGTGGTAAAAAAATACTAGGGTTCTCATTTCTTTTTAGTTTGATTTAAAATAAACAAATACGTAGTATTTGTGTTAGTGATTTTTAATACAATATTTTCTATTTTTTAAAGAATTTTTAATTCATCTAAATCATATGAATTTCAAATTAGAAAAAAGCTTATAACTCATGACTTTGAGATGATTTTTTGTCACTATTTTTTTTATTATTTTTTAAAATTTTTGTGCTAAAATATTGCTTTAAAGTTTAAACATCCGTAAAAAAAATTATCCCTAAAGAAACCTTCATCTTTCCCATCGGCAATTACAAGTAACTACCATTGTTGCTGGTATTGGCCTATACTCGCCTTTGCAAACCTTGCTACTGGCAAGAGTTAGAAAAATGATTTTATGCGGTCACGGAAGGGTCCAAAGGCGAATCAAAATATGCCATATCATTTTATACAGAGCTGTATATAATAAAAAAAATGCCTTGACGCATTCTTATTCACCTCCGAATGCTGTTTGGTGATAACATATAATAATTTCACCAAGAGTTGAGTCTATTTCAATATATTGAAAATATAACATGATAGATAAAAAAAATACAATTCATTTTATTTTTTTATCAAATTGAATAATAGCCTATTTTAATTATTTTATATTATTAAATATCATTATTTAAAGATAATGATCAAAATAGTCCAGTGACACTTTACAAATGATTAAAATTATTTTTGATAAATTATATTTTAATCATTTAATTTTTTAAATAAAGACTTAAATAATCTCACTCAAGGATGAATTTTATCTCTATTTAAATAGTGAAGGGATTACATTGTTATTTTTATATAATTGAATATTATTTTGAACATTTAGAAAAAAATGTGGGATCAATTATATTTCTTTTTTTTTTAATTTATTAAAAAACATTTAATTAATAAGTTTAGATTAAAATATTATATAAATAAAAATAAATTTTATCTTATAATTTAATGCTTCATTTTTTGTATTTACTTGAATTTTGTCAGGCTTGAGGCCACGGCCTGCAACCAGACACCCGAAACTCTTTAATAAGCCCACTATCCTCCGTCGTCTCCACCAGCAGTCCGAGCGAAAGGGCAATGTCATCTCGAGCTATACTCCTCGCCTTCCTGCTCTCCGCCCTCCTCTTACACGGCTTCGCCACTTCCGCTACCAAAGGCACCGCCGACGACGCTGATGAGGACATCAGCTTCCTCTTAGAGGGCGACGACGAGGACGCCGCCCGCGGATTCCCTAGCCACGACCATGCCTTGCAGGGCGAGGACGACCACGACGACTTCGACGAAGACGAGCAAGATCAAGGCGACTTTTCCGACTTGGATGAAGGATCTTACGAGGCGCCCCCGGCGTTAGATGAGAAGGATGTGGTTGTGCTCACGGAGGGTAACTTCAGTGAATTCATAGAGAAGAACAGGCATGTCATGGTGGAATTCTATGCGCCGTGGTGCGGGCATTGTCGGGCCCTAGCGCCCGAGTACGCTGCGGCGGCGACGGCGCTTAAAGCGGAGGACGTTGTGCTTGCCAAGATTGACGCCACGGAGGAGAACGAGCTCGCGCAGAAGTACGATGTGCAGGGATTCCCTACCGTTTACTTCTTCGTCGATGGAGATCACAAGCCCTACCCGGGGCAGAGAGCCAAGTAAGTTGACTGTTGACTCCTTAGATCCGCTACTTGATCTGCTTTGATCTCAACCGATCTGCTTTGCTTTGCTCTCTTGCAACCGTATCTTTTTATTATGAGGACTTCGTTTTAAGTATGGTGCATTAATTTGAAATTTGAGGCTGGAAAAATAGCATTTTAAGGATCTGTTAAGATGTACTATCAAGTGCGTGGCACCTTTTGCTTGTATTACCGGATTGTGGGCTCCGAAAAATTCCATTTTTGGGTGTATGATCCCGGGGGAATTTTCAGAAGGCAGATTGGATTTGTAGATAAGACACTACCCAGAGATTTCGCCCTCATTTGGCGAGGACTTTTTGATCTGAGTTCTGGTTTCCTATAGGCGCAAGCCCCTATAGTTAATTACCCCTCCCAATAATAGGAGAGAACTTTCGATTAAGGCTAGTCGTTTATGAGGACTTCGTTTTAATTATGGTGCATTAATTTGAAATTTGAGGCTGGAAAAATAGCATTTTAAGGATCTGTTAAGATGTACTATCAAGTGCGTGGCACCTTTTGCTTGTATTACCGGATTAATTGAATTCAGCACATCGTCAGTTTTTAGTATGCTAATGAAATAGTCTAGGGGGAGGAATGTTGAATTTTTTTTTAATGGTTTATTTCCTGCTTGCTTCTAGATAAGCAAGTTTGATGCCCTGAATGTTGAAAAAAAAAAAGACTTTTAGACAAAGAAGAAGAAGAATGGAGAACGGTGATCCATGCCAAATGAGAGAACTTGTTTTTGCTTTCTGATTTGCTAGGCTTATTTGAAGACTGTTTTTGATTTAAGGTAGATTTGCCTGCTTTGATTTGTATTTAATGGCGTTGATCAGTATTTGTTTCTATATCATTTCAAATGTATCTTTTTATGCCAGCAACTTTTGCATGAAGTGTGGAAATTCCTTTGCTTTTGTGCTATGTGAAAGGAAAAATATTTTCTTCGTAATTTTTGAAATTTAAAATGTATTGAAGTTAAAGCATTTGAGCCTTACAGATGATCTAAGTTCAGCTCCCAAAAATAAATGCTCATGCTTCTTTTTACCTGATACACATTCAAATGCTTAAGTTTTGATGCAAGTCTTTGTTTAATTGGAAGCTATGTGATAGATACTTTGTACTTTAAACTTGGATATTACCTTTCTTACTGTGTTGTCAGTATCTTGATATTTTTTGTCAGCCTCAACTCAGCTGAGTTTGTTATTAGAATGACATATTGGTGCCTTCAGTGAATATATTGCTATTATAGTTTGGTGAAACTTGCATTGCAGGGATGCTATTGTTACCTGGATTAAGAAGAGGATTGGGCCTGCTGTTCAGAATATAACAACAACTGAGGAGGCTGAGAAAATACTTGCTTCTGAAACTAAACTCGTCTTGGGCTTTTTTGACTCTTTAGTGGTAATTTCTTGTTCATTTCCTAGTTTAGCAAATCTCAGGAGGCATCTTCATAGTTTGCAGTGATACCCCAATCAAAATTATTGGCTTGAATGCTTTGATTTTGAGTCATTCTAACCTGTTATATTCCTGACCTTCCTTAATTTCTTCAAATCAATCATATCTGTAATTTAGTTTGTTAGTGTATATCCCAATCAAAATTATTGGCTTGAATGCTTTGATTTTGAGTCATTCTAACCTGTTATTTTCCTGAAATTCCTTAATTTCTTCAATTGATCAAATCAATCATATCTGTAATTTAGTTTGATAATGTTTGCATTTTGAGATGCTACAAAAGTAGAGCGAACTTCATTTTTGTGCTTGAGAGATCTCTTAAACGTTCATAGGATTTAAATGGCTGCACAACCTTTAGAACACCATTCGTTTTTACAATATTATCCAAAGTTAGTGTCCTATCAATCATGCAAGATTGAGCTTATGTGTTCAATTACACCTATAGCTTCATATAATATGAAGTTTTTAAGAAAAAGAGTGTTAAAAAAAGGTTGATGGCGCGATGATGCTCATGTAAAATATTTGGGATAAAGATAATTAACTGGAGGTTGAGTTTATTAAAATGATAATTATGAAAGGAGTTGCCTACATGAGATGAATCATGTTTAACATTATTTGCAGGCCATTTTTATGTGTATATTTCTATATCTATACCATTTTGTGTGGTTTGCAACTCCCATTCCCAAGTCTCCGATAACAGCTGCCCAATCGTGACATTAAGCACATACCTGATTGTGGGATTGTTATCATATTTCCTAATTGCAACTTTTTTGTCATCTAGGCACAATGTCGGGCACAACCACAAATATTTTTGTTAGAGGTCATAAAATTGGTGTTATAAATAAGTAAACTGTTTATTTTTAGTTTAAGTCTATCATATGAGATTCCAAATCATCATTGGTATACATGCATGTATGGTACTGTAGTGCAATATATTGGTTGTTTTCCAACTGTTAACTTATTTAATTTGATTTTGTTTTTGCTAATTAACTTAACACTGTACTTTTTTTGAATAAAATCAGGGTGCTGATAGTTTGGAGTTAGCTGCTGCATCCAAACTTGAAGATGATGTGAACTTCTATCAGACTGTCAGTCCTGATGTTGCAGCACTTTTCCACATTGACCCCAAAGCCAAGCGACCATCTTTAGTTTTGCTGAAGAAGGAAGCTGAAAAGTTGACTTATTTTGGTATGCTGAGTTATTGATTGCTCTTCAGCTGTAACTATATTTTTTAATGATGCTTGGCAAAAGTTATGCTGATGCTGTTGAGTTACACAGATGGCCAGTTCACTAAATCGGCCATAGGTGATTTCATATTTGCCAATAAGCTTCCTCTGGTGACCACTTTTACTAGAGAAACTGCTCCTCTTATCTTTGAGAGTCAAATTAAAAAGCAGGCAAGTTATATTATTTTGCTGCGGTGTTTGCCTTCTTTAATGTTTTCAACCTTACTCTTTATTCTTTAAACAAATATTGATATTACTCATTGTTATTTTTTATTAGCTTTTGCTCTTTGCACAATCAAAAGATTCTGAGAAGATTTTATCGGTCTTCCAAGAAGCTGCAAAATTGTTTAAGGGAAAGGTATTTATTAAATGGTATCATTACAAATTTTTGAACTTGAATAACTTTTGTGACACATTATATTCAACAGCTCTAAAAACTCCTGCAGAAAGTTCTCAATGGTTTGCTTGAATTCAATTTATGTGTTTCCGACAGCTTATCTTTGTGCACGTGGAGATGGATAATGAGGATGTAGGCAAACCAGTTTCAGATTACTTTGGAGTGACTGGAGATGGCCCAAAAGTAACTTTCAATCTCAATACTATGTCCAACTTGATCCTTATTCTCAAGATTTATATGTTGGCTTGATAAGCATTTTAACTTAATCTTTCTTTTGCAGTTGTTGGCTTACTCAGGAAATGAGGATGGTAGAAAGTATATACTTGATGGAGAAGTTACGCATGAAAATATTAAGGTATGACATGGATGATCCTGTCTTGTCCCTTCACGTTTTCTATACGCTTGCAGCTCCCCCTTAATAACATATCTCTACAACTTATAATGCTTACTTGAATGACGTTTTAGCATTGTAATATCATATTTTAACCTGTTAAAATGTGATTAGTTTTTATTCTCGTAACTAATTTTCTAATTGCCATTTTGCTTTAGTGGAATGCTGCCTATATCTGATTTCTTGCCATTATATGTGTCGCATACTTTCAAGGAGCCAAATGGAATGGAAAAGTTCAAGATTGTCGACCTCTACTAAAATCCAAAAAAAAAAAAAAAAATCATCATCGAATAAGAAAATACCTGCTCAAATCCCTGCACAAATCCTATGTATACAGCTGCCTGCTACAGTTCCCATCCACTGCAAACGACGCCGGGTTGTCACATCCCCGTGTGCGTAAATCTGCTTTGCTCTCTCGCTCTTGGTCTCGCTGATTAAGCGAGAATACGAACGAAGTCTTGGGTTATGTTCTCCTGCTCTAGCTCTCTCTCCTGTTTCTCCTTCTCAACCGAGCTCCTGTTGCTCCTCAAATCCAGGATCCCCTCTGCCTCACGCTCTCAGCGATCAAACCTCACCCCTCTGCTAACTGCACGACTTCAATACTCCTACCTCATGACCTGCACCAAACATAAATATCAAAAGTAATTTACATAAATATATATTTATCCTGTACTCATTTTTTTTTTAATTTTTGTTGTCATTCTCGAAAATATTATTTCGACAATGTTCTAACAATTAGTTGGTCTATCGTTTAGTTATGTCATAAGAAGAAATGAGTTTAAACTCGCTTTTCAATGTCATTTTCATTTTATTTTGAGTTATTTGTTCTTATGGCTTAACTGGGCAGCCCTATCCATTTGACACCTCTGTCTTGAAGTTATAAACTAATGGTTAATGTCATAGTTAATATTTAGGAGTTGAGATGAATGATTTGAAGATATCAAATATTTGGAATATTGTAAACTATGATGATGATCTCATCATACAGACCCATAGTTTCATCACATGCTTATCTATGGGTGCTAACATATTACTTCCTTTCAACATCGAACTATGTTTTTTCTTTTTATCAAGATATGTTTATGTTAGGAAATACTTGAAGATCTCAAGCGAAATTTAATGATCTTGACAAAAACAGCGAGAACTCTCCACAAATCCAATGAAAAATCAGATAAAAACAGGAATTTTATTGCAAGAACACAAATTAACGGAAGAAAATAGCAAGATACAATTGATCCTCTATTCAAGAGGAGGATCTTTCTCTCTCAAATCTCTAGACACCGCTAGAGCCCAATGAAACTAAGAGATATCAAATTTCAGCCAAATTCAAGATGCCCTAACCCTAGAAAAACCAATTATTTAATGCATACAATAAAAAATGAAATCTCTAAACAGTCCCTATATTCAAATTTCTCTCCTAACTCCCTCAAAAATCCTGCCCAAAAAGCTCTCCTGGATACTGCGGCTTGAACTGCTTGAGCGGGAGGCGGAGAATGTCCGCCTCTGTTCCCGTGGGTCGGTCCTGTATGAACCGGCTGGACCGGTCTAACAGTTTCTATCTTTGACGTTGATGTTTGCAACAAAATGTTATGATCATATCCTTGAATTGACGACCTAACGGGGATGTCTCTGTTATGTGAACATACTCTGCTATCATGATTCTAAGGCTTTGTTTGGGACGGCTTTTTTATTATTTTTGAAAACGGAGTTTTAGAACAAAAATTAAAAAATTTGTACTACAACTCCGTTTTAAAAAGCAATAAAAAACCGTCCCAAATGAAGCCTAATATTTTATATTCCTGGTTTTGTTTATTTGATTAATTTATCATGAGGTTTCTCAAAAATTAATAGAAATTTAAGATAGAAACCACCTAATTAGGACACATTCATTATGTTCAACTGTCATTATTTATCTTGATTACACATTTTTAACAGCATTTTTCCATCTTTTTAGGCTTTTGGAGAAGATTACTTAGAGGATAAGCTCAAGCCATTCTACAAATCGGACCAGATACCTCAAACTGTATGTGGAAGCAATTATTTTCCTCTAACCCATCCTCTTGTCTTAAACCCCTTGAATCTATTCCATTTAAATTTTTTGGCTTCTTACGCAGAATGATGGCGATGTGAAAATAGTGGTAGGAAATAATTTCGATGAAATAGTTCTGGATGAGTCAAAGGATGTTCTTCTCGAGGTGAATTAAGGCTTTGTTTGGAACTGTTTTTTTATTGCTTCTTAAAACAACTTTGTAGTACAAAAATTAAATTTTTTGTACCAAAAAGTTATTTTAAGAATCAATAAAAAAGTCGTCTCAAATGAAACCTAAGTTGATCTTTTACAGCGAGAGCCTTAGTCTTCAATTGTTTATGCAATGATAGAACCTTATAATGAACATTGAACCAGATCTATGCACCATGGTGTGGCCATTGCCAAGCTTTAGAACCAACGTACAACAAACTTGCCAAGCATCTACGTGGTATCGAGTCTCTTGTTATAGCAAAAATGGATGGGACCACAAATGAGCACCCTCGGGCCAAGGTCTGGTTTTATTTCTTTTACTTATTTTTTAAATTTTTATTAACTTTTGCTTTTATTTTACAACATTCATGTTGACTGGTACACTGATATTCCTAACTTTTCCTATCGTGGGCGTTAACTTGTTTAGCTGGTAAAGATATGAAAAGTCAATATCAAAGTTTTTGAATTGAATTCTACCTAATACAAATACACAAACTCTAATCTAGTAGCATTGGTAATGACTTTGATGTTTACTAGATGTTGACAGTTTTGTAACAATCCCTTTTTCTTTTGCCTAGCTAGTACTTGGATCAATTCTAACCACATTTATTTTTATTTTAATGAAATTTTGCATAAAAATAATTTATTTTGATAATTGAGTTCTGAAACACCAACTTGTTGTAGACAGGATATAATTTCAAAATATTTATAATAACTTCAATGATTTTTACCAGCTAAAATTAGCTGACGCCCACAATAAAAATGATTTCATTCTATGATTTTGGCTCTGGTACCCACGTTGCTTAGTTTGGCTGAAGGGTGAGTACTGTTGGGAACCCCCAACCCATCCTCGATTCTCCTCGATTAGTAGTGCCTTTTAAGTGGGGTCCAATCAAGTGCGGGTCAGGAGATTTCTGGGGTGGGTGCCTCTTCTAGGTCAGTCGAGGATTAGTCACGGCGCCAAGCATCCTTTCGGTGGTGGTAGCGGGTGGATACCCCGTTCCCATAGATTCTAAATTGAATTATTTTGTCTGCATGTTTCAGTCTGATGGTTTCCCAACCCTTCTCTTCTTCCCAGCTGGAAACAAGAGCTTTGATCCGGTAAATGAATTTACACACATCATACTTTATACCCCTCACAAAACTTTCTATTATTTAGAGAAACAATCCTAGTTTCTTAAACTTCTTCATATTTCTTTTGGGGATTTGGCAGATCACTGTGGACACAGAACGCACAGTTGTAGCATTTTATAAATTCTTGAAGAAAAATGCTTCAATTCCTTTTAAGCTCCAGAAACCAGCTGCAGCAACGAAAACAGAGGCTGTTTCTGAGCCTAAGCAAGAGGGCCAAGCCAAGACCGACCTGAAAGATGAGTTATAGTTCTATTATAGTCTATTTATGAGCATTCCTATAAACTTATTTCATGTTAGGAAGATGATTAAAGTTCTTGAAAGAGTATTATGCATTTGGCTTTATCAGCGTAGGATTTTACTTCTAATTTTTGTAGTGCTGTGTCAGAGAGAGTAAAAGAGGGAAAAACATTGACAGTAGACTGAATTGCAGAGGAATCACTCAATAAAGCTCATCTTATCATTTTCTTTCTTTGTAGCCATTAAAGAACTATAGAGTTTGTTAATCAGTCGAGTCGAGCTCCGATAACCTTTGATTTGAGCTTTATATTTTATTTGGGATAGTTTTCTTACTGCTTTCTAAAACATTTTTATAGTAAATAACTATTTTAGAAAACAATAAGAAAGCTGTCTCAAACAAAAACCTTAATTTGTGTAATTAATTAAATGAGCTCAATTCTATATAAGTGATATAATTTATTATTATTTTTAGTAATTTAATTTTTAAGTATATTTTATATTAATATTTTTTTTAAATGAGGATGAGCTGGCTCTGCAATGCAGCTTGCACCATTAAAAGGAACAGTGCTATCAGGTACACAGGTAAAGTTTCCTATGTATGAATAGGTAAGTGCTGTTCCATGCAGAGTAAAGGCTCTCTTGATGATTTGTTTTGTATTTTTTTATATTAAAATGATTTTTAGGTCTTCACAAAATGTTTTATACATTTTAAGGAGATTTATGATATATATATTTTCTATTATCACAGTGTGTTTTTATCATAAATTAGGGTTCATTATATTTATTTTTGTAAATAATACCATATTTTTGTTAGAGCTATAAAAATAGAGTTACGGTAGGGTTCGAGTTTAACCCAGAACTGATATGGCATTATTCGGGTCAATCATAACTTAGAACCATTTTTGAAAATGGATATTTGTTTCAAATCCGAACTTGACCTGTTTTGGGTTCAGGTCAACACGACCCGACCCTTATATCTTAAACCTCATTTCTATAACTCACGCTCTTATTAAGCCAAACCCCGTAACTTCCGTGGTCCGGTCCGCCGGCAGCAGCAGCGGGCAGGCAATGACGCGACATAAGCAGATGGGCCGACACGACAGTGGGTAAGTAGTGCAGAAGACTTGGGCAAGCAATGTGACTCGATGCGATGCTATGCGACACATGCATTCGGGGCAAGCACTTTTTTTGTGTCATTCCCAAGTCAACCTAAACCCAACCCGATTTTTAAAATGGGTTGATTTTTTGAACCCGAACCCGACCCATTTTGGGTCCGGTTTGATTGAAACTCGAAATTTTTATGTCTGGTTCGAGTCGGATTTTCGGGTCGTGTTAAATGCTGACACTCGTAATTTTTGTGTTGTATGATATTTTCTAAAATTATGTTTATCAGTTTTTAGTGAATTTATCGATTATATTATGATATTTAAGAATAATGAAGAAATGCATCATTAAATATATAATATACATAATATTATTAAAACAAAATTGGTTCCTAATATTTTGATCATAACTTTACCTGTTGAATTATGAGCATTTGAATTTATTTTGAGATGAGTGATTATATCTATATTATATTAAGAGAGTGAGTGTCGTTGAGGATGCAAGGCAACCCGAATAAGTACTTATGCTCAAAGGCATGAACATGCAAGGCAAGCCACTAAAATATTTAATATAGACCTCATTGAAATTGATAGACAATAGACAATATAGTGCCAACTGAGCCTATACACCTATTTAGATTGATAATGTTTAAATTGGAGTATCTGACTTACTGTTCAGTTCATTTTAACAGATTAACTAATAATCAAAACAATCATATATAAATGTCCACATCTTTGTTGATGTTTCCTTATTATTTACAGTGAAAGGGTCAATCTTTTATGTTTATAAGAACTTGGAATCTATGATTGCGCTTTTGAAGACATCTTAATCATCAACAGAGAAGCTTTGTTCTCCCTTTTTGTTAGCCATAAATTCATGAACATACTAATTGGAATAAAATAACATATAATTATGGATGTTGCGTCCTGGAATATTCGCGGCGGTAGAGAAATATTTAGTTTAACGTCTTAGCATTGTACGAAGATCCAGTACACAAGCAGATAAGTGAGAGGGTATATTACATAAGCCAATGGTTTTTTTGATTTGATCAATTAATTTTTTTAGAAATAGTTGAATTAGGTTTTATAGATTCGTTCTTTGTTTTTTCTTCTCGAATACATGAAAGAGATATGAGAATCAGGAAGTTGGGAGAATACTGATATTTATGAAGCTCGGATTAAGTAAACAATTTCATAGTTTGGATTGAGTTGAATAAAGTTACTGGCCTAGAATCAACTCAAAACTCGCTAGAAGGCCTTAAATTTAGGATTGGATCATTTCAATTCACTAAGGATTTAGCCTTTCTCGCTTTTGAATACCAAGTGATCGAACTAATCAGCAAAAACACGAACTCGTCCTCACTGTTCAGCTAAAGATCTCAACCACAAGATGACAGACTACTTGCCCGAAGGGGCTCTCATCATCGAAGCTCTCACAATTGTCTCATCAAAAAAAAAATATCATAGGAAACTTGTCCTTGAAAAGCCTTTTCGACTACGGTTCTTACCGATCAGATAATTCTCAATAAATATTCACTCGCTATACAACTAGTTATGCTAAATCTTTAGCATAAACTCAACATCACCTAATACTTTTGATTAAAGCTCTACCAACTACTTTTATTCTCTATCAAATCCCTATTTTCTCTCTCTTCTTTAATCTCTCTCTCTCTCTCTCTTCTTTAGTGTTCTAATTATTTCTACAATAAAATCTTGATGTCATCACACTAACAATTTTAAATAAATTATGCAAATATAGTATTAAGAAAATAGATTAGTTGAGAATTTCACATTTATACGTATAAATAGATGTGGAATGTTAGGCCATGGGTTGTTCTCAACTCCATATTGTCACCGACATCAATGTATATGCTTGATGCAATTTATCAAAAAACTCCAAATTGTTTTCCAAATTGCTAAATTTGTAGGAAACTTTTCTCAAAATTAATTAGTTGATTGGGGTCTATTAATAGGAATAATTTTGGTATATTTATATTGTCATTTGATATTTATCTATAATGACAGTAAGGATTGTGTGGTTGCAAGCATTTAAATTTTTGTGTGTATTTTAAATGTCATGTAAATTAAAATTATGTTATTTGAAATATTCGTATTTTTATTGGTAAAATGAATAATAATTTTTATTTTTAATTAATATTTAAAGACATAGTACTTGGGCCATGCGAATCAGACTCTGAGCTTAGCAGGTGACAATTGATAGAGTCAATGATGATGACAAATCCAAAGATTTGTTAGAGGTAGGGCTCTTAAAATAGGGTCACGGGCGCGGGTTCGGGTTCAATCAGGAGCTGATCTGACACTATTCGAGTCAACCGAATCCGTCTTGCTTCAGCTTCGGGTCAACCCGACCTGACCTGAAACTCGGGCAAGATGGAATTAGCATCAACTTAATAATAAAATGAAGATATGTGTATGGCTGCACTTTGGGAATGACTATGATTATGACTAAAGTTAGTTGCATCAGGTGTAGGAGTGTCAATAAATAATTTGACACATCAACCTAACTTTGAAAATTCGAGTTCGAGTTGTCCCATTTAATAAATGAGTTAGATTCATGTCGTGCATTTCGGCTTGTTTATTAAACTATTCAGGTTCGAGTTTGACCCGTCAATCCTATTTTAACTCTAAAATGATCGAGTTAATATTTTTATTTTTTGATCAATATTCTAAAATATACGACTAATAATCTAATTAATTTTTGTAATCTATAAATTCATTTACTAATGAAATTTTCTTAGTAGAAATATGTGATTTGAACAAAAGAATATATATATTTATATATTTAGACCTTTTTCTGTTCACTTTCCTTCTTAAATGACAAATCTGATGACTCGCCGTCGGGAGATAAGGACATATTTGTAAAACAAATATATATTTAGAAATAATGTTTTTTCTATGTAAATAAAAAAAAATCAAAACACTATAAAAAAACAAATTAATTTGCATTTGTTATTTCGGATCATCACCACTTGTTGTTTAATTAATTATTTATTTATTTACAACAACGCCCAAAAAAACGTGGTGAGAGCGTCGAGACTCGCGATCAAGAAAGTCGCCTAAGAACCCGAGGAGTTAGAAAGGAGGGCGAATCCTGACCGTCGAATGATCGCAACCAACCGCTGTGATCTATTTACAATTACGCTTTCTGTTATTTTATTATAATAACTAATTGATTACGTGAGGAAGAGCAGAAGAGGCAATGGAGACCTTTCAAGAGGGTGGAGGAATGGAGTAGGAAGCATTCATCATGGAGAGAGAAAGAATGGTAAGAGATAGAGAGAGAAAGGATGGTAAGAGATAGAGAGAGAAACAGGTTAGAGATAGAGAAAGAGGGACATTTTGACGCTGCTGTGGCTGTCGTGGCGAGCATAGGATATGAGCACGGAGGACGACATGCTCTGAATCACCTGTGTCGTTTTGCTCCCCTTAACCGCGTTTCATAAAGTTTTTCTCCCTCGTTCTTCGGCTTCTCTCTCTCTCTCTCCTTTTACCCTGTTCTCTCGCCATTCTTTGCGCGCGTGCTCTGTTCTGATAGGAAAAAAAAGTAAAGGGGGGAGGGGAGCAGAGGAGCCGGCCTTAAGAGTGGAAGCTTGACTGTTGGGGAGAGGTGTTTGGAGGTAAGAAGCAAGGGAGGATGAGGAGAAGGGGGAAAAGATAGAGGGAAAGCGACGGAGAGGGGAATACAAGAAGGAAAGAGAAGTGAGGTGGAGAAGGAAAGGAAAGGTTGTTGCAACGTATTCCAAGTTGAGATTTTGAAGCCGCTTTGCAACGAAATATGTTAAAATTAGGCGAACAAAGTTGTTAATTTCGCCTTTCTTTGTTCTTCTCTTTTTGTTTGGGATAGGCGAGGATGGCAGCGGCGGAGGAGATGTTGGTGTCGAACAAGGACGGAGAAGAGGAACCCAGCATTGACACCGACAAACTTAGCTACGAGATATTCTCCATTCTCGAGAGCAAGTTTCTATTTGGGTACGACGATGGGCACCGGCTTTGTGTTCCGAAATCGCCGCCGGCGGCCTCTGTCGTTTCCGATGGCAATGGAGCGATCAAGACCCAGAGAGGAAAGGTTTGCATCCTCAGCATAGACGGCGGCGGTGGGGTGGGAATGCGCGGCATTATCCCTGGGAAAGTTCTATCATACCTTGAGAAAGCTCTTCAATCAAAATCCGGCGACTCGGATGCCAGGATCTCCGACTACTTCGATCTCGCTGCCGGTACTGGAGTTGGGGGTTTCTTCACCGCTATGCTATTCGCTACTCGCGACAGCTCTCGCCCATCCTTCCGCGCCGAGGATACCTGGCGCTTCCTTGCGGATAAAGGCAGGCGCTTTTACCGCAAGCCTTCGTCTTCTTCCTCCGTTGCATCCTCTACTCCGGCGCTCTTCCGTTGCGTCTTCCAGGGCGGTCGTGGCAGAGGAATGGCCGAAATGACGAGAGCAATGGAGATGGCTATGAAGGATACGTTTGGCGAGTCGCTTACTCTCCGCGACACGGTGAAGCCAGTGCTCATCCCCTGCTACGATCTCCAGAGCTCGGCACCCCTCGTATTCTCCCGCGCCGATGCGTTGGAGAGCGAGAGCTACGATTTCCGCCTCTGGGAAGTTTGCCGGGCGACGTGGGCGGAGCCAGGCCGTTTTGAGCCGATAGAGATGCTGTCGGTGGACCGCTCCACCGTTTGCATAGGCGTCGACGGAGGCCTGGCAATGAGCAATCCCACCGCTGCGGCCATAACCCACGTCCTCCACAACAAGCAGGAGTTCCCCTTCGTACGGGGAGTCGAGGATCTCATGGTCCTCTCCCTCGGCTGCGGCGCGGCCGCCGCAGCTTCTGTGCCTGAAGCTGCCGGTGGTCGCCTAGAGCATCAGAAGCTACGGCAGTGGGGTGCGAAGGAGTGGGCGCGTCCAATAGCTCGCATATCTTCCGACGGCGCGGCCGACCTCGTCGACCATGCGGTTTCCTTGGCCTTCGGCCAGTGCCGGAACGCCAACTACATGCGTATTCAGGTACACCATTGCCCCCTTCTCTCCCTTTCTCCGCTAACCTGCACCGCTCTGGTTGCTAGTGCAAGAAACGACGATAGTCTTTCGTCGTTTCTGCTGTCAATGGTGATCTGTTTCTATGTGCTCGGCTCTTTCCGTGGTTAAAAATGCAATCTTTTCTCTTAATTTATAGCATTGGATGAAATTTTATTATAAGTAACTGGGGTAGGGGGGTGACTGGTGTGGGGGAGAGGAACAGTATCTTTTATCAAACTCTTGGAGCTTATATTATTATAAGTATCATTTTTTCTCCTGAGAAACATAATCAATCACTCTTGGAGCTTATGGGACCAAAAATTTATCAAACTCTATATCCCATCTCCTAAATTCCATTCATTTCATCTTTTGATTCTTTGGTAGAAGTGAGCAAAATTCTGTCTTTTAATTTGTTTGATTTACAAAAATGGTTCTCTCTTGTTGTGATTGAGCTCCGGTGGTCATGAATGCAGGCAAATAGTCCAAGCTCAGGGAGATGTGAAGCTGATGTCGACTGTGATCCAAGCTCTGCAAATGTGAAAGTTCTGCTAAACGTTGCAGAGGAGATGCTGAAGCAGAAAAATGTCGAATCTGTTCTATTTGGAGGAAGAAGAATCAGCGAACAGACAAATATGGAGAAATTGGATTGGATAGCAGGTGAGCTAGTGCTCGAGCACCAGAGGAGGAGCTGCCGTATTGCTCCCACTGTCGCCTTCAAGCAAGCGTCTCCAAAGCTCAAAACTGGGAATTTTCCCAAGTAAGCCTTCTCCCCCATTATCGTTCCTGTGTTACTTGCTGGATCCTGCTGCTTTTTTTTCATGGCAGGCTATCACTCTCATTCTTAATGTTATGAAAAGAATATGCTGTCAAATATTCGTGATAAAAGTTGATCTCTTTCGGACAAAGGAAATCCATTTCTGCTGTGATTTCTTCTTCATCTTTGTCTCCATCATCTATGTATTTAATAGAGGCCCCAATTCTGAAGGTCTTCCGAGGATCTTTTTTTGTGTTTCTGTTCATCTTTATCTTTATTTTTGTAATTTTATCATTTCTGTTTTTCTTTGTATGAATTGTAAACATCTTAGTGTAACTCTCTGAACTTTCCTCTTTTTTTGTAATTGTTCTTTTCTTTCTGTATATTGATCAATCTTTAGACATTTAGCACAGTGTTCATCTCTGTTCCAACTTTCGGGGCACATTAGTATGCATTACTACAGTAGTAAAAGATCTACAGTTGCTTTCTTTTTTGGTGAAAATTTGTTCTATTATTTTGTATTTGTCACTACTTATTACTTCTCTCTGCCAAGTGAACGAGAACAATTAAGAAAATCACAATAAAATATAGTATCTTGAATACTAAAGTAATACAGTATTAATAGATATTGAATATGTGATTACTCTGATATGGTAAAACTTTCTAGAAATTTGAGATGGCATAGAAGATATCATCTTCAGTTTAAAAATGCTAGTGAACAGGATTAATTATTCTATGTGGATGCCGAACGTCGTCGGGAGACTAACAAGAATGTGCCATGTCATCCTTTGCTCGGTACCGCGTCTTAGTACTGCTCGGTACCACTCGGTACCGTGGCTCGATACCGCTGGCATGACGCATTCTGATTGGTCTCCAGACGGCGTTCTGCGTCCGGCCTCCGCACATAATAATTTCTCAGTGAACAGAGATGTAGTTGAAGCTTTGTTGCATGGTGAATGCCAGTGCCATAAATGGAACTCGAACTCAATCAATTTAAGAAGGTTTTGTTTAGAACAACTTTCTTATTGTTTTTTAAAGTAGTTTTTTAGTATAAAAAATCTTTGAATTAGAAATTTTTGATCTAAGAAGTTGCTTTAGAAAGTATTAAGAAAGCTACCCCAAATGAGATGTAAAAAGAGTAGTGTTAATCGGCCTTTAAGAGTTTCTAGTTAGAGCCACGTCAAAAAAATGTATAGATTAGAACTTTGAACTGAGGTGTTAGGTTTCGTTTGGGATGGTGGTTTTAAAAGTAGCTTTTTAGTACAATTAAAAAGCTGTTTTAAGAAGCAGTAAGAAACTCTAAACCCAAACAAAGCAATAAGAAGGTTGTTGATGAAGATCATCATCAGGGAGAAGAAAGGCACCGACTAGAGCTTGCGACTGAGAGGTGCAGAGGCTAGTGAAGAGAGCATGAGAGAGCAGGAAGATATCAAAGCAAAAAATCAAAATTGTGCTATGATACAATGTTAGAAGGCATAAAAGCCTACATTTTTACTAGATTGTTATTCTAATTGTACAAATAAATATGTTTCTATATGAAAAGAGACCAATATAAGAAGAATATCATCATTAATTGTAACAATCAAAACCATTAACTATCGAGATATTATTTATTTGATTTGATGGCCTTATAATTTTTGTCCCGTTGGTGTAGCGATTTTCACATTAGAAGCCAGAATATTGAAAAAATTTCAGCTTCCTTTAGTATTAGGTTTCGTTTGGGGCGGCTTTCTTACTACTTCTTAAAGCAGCTTTCTAATAGAAATTTTTTATTTTTTTTACTAAAAAGTTACTTTAAGAAGCAGTAAAAAAGCCGTCTCAAACGAAACCTTAGTCGATATTACATTAGAATTTGCTGCATGCATCTTACCTACTCTTATACTTAAACTGAATATTGCTTCTAAGTAAATAATATAACAATGATCATTATATTTCCTAATAATTTCTCATTTTCCTCCTCTTCCAAAGCACCTCAAATTTGGATTTTTTGATTGCTACTCTTTGCCAAATTATTGTTTTATAATGAAAATTTGAATAAATTATTATTATGAAATTTATTTAATTAGAAAAAAACTCAAAATAGTTTCTAGATTATTCGTGCATGACTAATTTAATTCCAGAGTATTACATTGCATCAACTTATAATTGTAATATCAAATTATAATTGTAATATCAAATTGATTTTATTGTAGTCTCTCGAATTTACTCTCGAATTTACAAAATTGATCTCAAGATGAGTCCAATTGTATTGCATTTTTATTGCATTTGTCGTAAAGCAATTTTGTAATTTTAAAACTCATCAATAAAAAAAAATGATCACGATATGCTGACTCTATTTTTTTCTCAACTAATATTTCATTTGGGACATCTTTCTTATTATTTTTTAGTACAAAAATTTATAACTTACAAAGTTTTTTTACTAAGAAGCTGCTTCAGAAAACAATAAAAGAGCTGTCTCAAACGAACACTTAGGCTTCGTTTGGGATGACTTTCTTATTGCTTCTTAAAACAACTTTTAAATACAAAAAGTTACTTTAAGAAGCCATAAGAAAGCTGTCACAGGCTTCGTTTGAGACGGCTTTCTTACTACTTCTTAAAACAACATTTTAGTAAAAAATTAAAATTGTTGCACTGAAAACTTGCTTTAAGAAGCAGAAAAAACCTGTCCCAAACAAAACCCAAGGTTTCGTTTGGGATTGCTTTCTAACTACTTAAAGCGGCTTTTTAGTTCAAAAGTTAAAAATTTAATAGTAGAAAGCAGCTTTAAGAAGCAGTAAGAAAGCCGTCCAAAACGAAGCCTATGGTTTCTGCTCAAGACATGCTCTCTCTCTCTGCTAAAGTCGATTTTTCGTCCTCCAATTATAGCATAACATGATGAATAAAAATTAATCAGGATGCCCTAACCTAAAAATGGTTAGGATAAGTTTTAAAATTTATAATTATGCTTTGAGATGAGTGCAATTCAAATAATCTATATATTACATGTGTACATAAAAATTTGTAAAGCTCATATTGATTAAAAATTTGATAATAATATCCTAATCTCAAAGCAGATGCTCTAATTCTAGCTTGCATTGCTGCTGTATTAAATGAATGAACTATTTTATTATGCAAATTCGTCATAATAATTTTTATAAATGTGTCATTTTATTTTTAACGTATTACACCACCGACAATTATTCCATTTAAAATAAATTGTAATAATAATATTATTAAATTTACTATGACATAAATATAATATATAAACTAATTAAAATTTATATTTCATTTATCTCAAAATAAATTTAATAATTATTATGAGATATTTTTTTATAATAAAAATTTTCTACTGTGATAATTGTCATTGTCGAGCTTTTATTTCAAATATGGACTCCCAAATAATTAAAAGAATATGCAATATTTATTGATTTATTTATTATGTATTAAAATTTGTTGCTAAGTCCAATATTCTCATTAGGCTAATAATAGCTAGTGGTTGGGGTTGGACCCTATGGTGTTGCTTTCAAAGGAACACCTTGTAATTCTCCTTATTTAATGAAATTAATTTTATATTTTTTAAATGATTATATATATATAATAATATCACAAAAATATTAATTATATGATATTTGATGAGTCATAAATTTAAAATTAATAAAATAATGCACAATTATTTGAATCATGCAAAGGACACTTTGTCTTACACTTAGTCCAAATATAGACTTTATTATAAAAAAATATATTTAATGTATATTAAAATTTATTAGTTCAAATATTGATTTTACATATTATTTTATAATGTGCATTATTGTCATTTATCATTGAACATATTGGTTCATATTATTTACTTTGTTGAGTTCGATTATATAATATGTATGAGCCATTGAAAATTTTATTTATATTGCATAAATAATAAGAGACATATAAATTAATAAGTATTTAGAAATTGAATTATTATACCTTATAAATTGACATGTCTATAATCTGTGGCAGATTTGCAGGGGACATTGAGGGCATAGGCCCCATTGCCGCCCCATTGCCCCAATATTTTTGTTGTTGTTGAAAAGTTGTTAACATTTGATTATAAAAATAAAATTATATTCAATACGTTGAAGCATATTATGAAGCCATAAACTTAACAATTCTCCTCCTCGCCTCCTCCCTGATTGAATCACATAGTAGGTCTGAGATCTCCCTAGCTATCGATGCTCTCCTTAGCAGTCACCTTCATCATGAGTCCCTTCCCTGCCCCACCTCTCTTCCTCTCTTTTATAGCTCTCTTTCTCTCTCTATCCATGATAAATGCAATTTTATACAAATTGCTTTAGATAAACTGATAAATCATGTTCATACTATTACACTAATGTTTAATTATTGATATTTCACTATTCCTCAGTTATATGTCACATATGTTTACTATGAAGCATATTATGAAGTCCTAAACATAGCAACTCTCCTCCTCGCCTCTTCCTTGATTGAATCACATAGTAAGTCTGAGATTTCTCTTGCTACCAATGCTCTCCTTAGCGGTTGCCTTCGCCTTGAGCCCCTTCCTTGACCCACCTTTCTCACTCTCTTTTATAGCTCTCTTTCTCTCTCTATCCATGATAAATACAATTCTAGTACAAATTGAATTAGATAATTCAAGTTCATACTATTACACTAATGTTTAATTATTAATGTACTATGAACATTGATTAAATAGAATACAATTTGCTAAATTATTATAGCTTGTATTTGAAGATATAGACATACATATATGTAATATCGATTGATTGTATTGTTATAAATAGTAAGCCTACATATTAATTTTATTTTTATGCATCGAGTCCAATGATATATTTTGTATTATATTTATAATAATTTTCAAAAAAATTATTTTTCTTACAAAAATTTAAAGAATAGTATATTTATAATATCAAATATTAAGATATGATTTTTATTTGTTTAATGGCGGAATATTTGCTCAATGCTCATAAGGATCTTAACAAGTTTTGTGCTAAAAGTGTGAATTTTCTCAAAAAAAAATTCAAAAAGGTGCTTTGAAAGCATGACAAGAAATTCAAAATTTTAATACTTTTTTATTATTTAATTTTTAGTACTTTAATGCCTAAGAGTACATTAGTTTTTTTTTTTTTGGGAAATTTTGGGGCAAAGCCCTTAGTACATTAGTTTCTATGTCAAAATGAGAAAGTGACATGCTTTTGACTTGTTTAATCATTTTCAAATCAACATAAAAAATAAGCAAGTTGTCAAAAGAATGAAGAAAAGGTAACATGATCACACCAAGATTGTCATAATTAAATTTAGAATAAACATGCCACTCAACATCATCAAGCATAAAGCCATTGGACACAATAATATAGTTAAAGACTTTAAATGCCAATGTTTACCTTTGAAGTCATAAAGAGATTTGACTAGCTAATTTGCAAATGTTTTTTATTTTTTTATTTTTAATGTTTTCACACTATGGATGATGAAATCTTGATGTTGATATTGATAAATCTTTTCTTCTGAATCATTATTTATAAAAATATAGGTTTAGTGCATAATTTATATAGTGATGAAATCAAAGTAGCTAATGAAATCAAAGTATTTTGATTTTTTTTTTTTAATTTGGGTGCTTTATTTGAGTATATTTGTGTTTACCTCAAAAATCTTGATTTGAAGTACTAAAAAATGGGAAAATATTAGAATTCTCAAGCAAAATTAGATCGATAAATCACTATGTATGTCGAGAACTAGTGCATAATAACAATAACAAGTTTTTATCCTACTACATAGGGTCGACTACATGAAACATTTTTCTTCATTGTGTTATATTAAAAGTCAAATTATCAGTTAAATCTAATGAAAAAAGTAATTTTATTACTTTCTAATCAAGTCTTTCTTAAGGCTACATCTACTTTTCTTAATATAGGCCGGATCTAAAATATCTACTATCATAACAGGGTCATCAAAAGGCTGATATTTTATGTGACCAAACCAGCTAATATGAATCTCTATGTAATCTTATCTACCTCTAAAGCTACTCCAACTTTTTCAAGTATATACTCATTTTGCATTCTATCATAAAGGGGTTATAATTAATTTTGATAAATCCATTTATACCTGTTGCGGGCTAGAAAATACGCGACGATAGAGATTTAATTCTGCGTCTTAGCGTTGTACGTATAACTAGCACACACAGAGAACACAAGATTTTTTACGTGGAAAACCCTTAAAAGGGAAAAACCACGAGGCCTGGCCCAATTGAAAATGATTCCACTAGATTTTGAGTTGGTTACAAAGAACTGAATCACCTCCAAGGGTGTTCAGATTACAATCAGTTACTTAAGTAAGACGTCGGGTCTTTGTCAGGACGTAGGGACCGAGTGTCAGGCCTTGAACAGGACGTCGGGTCTTCGGCAGGACGTAGGGACTGAGTGTCAGGCCTTGAACAGGACGTCGGGTCTTCGGCAGGACGTAGGAGCCAAGTGTCAGGCCTTAAACAGGACGTCGGGCCTTAAGGTGGGGTGGTCCGGCGAGGTTCTGCGGTGGTCCGGCGAGGTTCCTGCGGTGGTCCGGCGGTGGTCCGACGAGGTTCCTGCGGTGGTCCGGCGAGATTCCTGCGGTGGTCCGGCGAGGTTCTGCGGTGGTCGACTCGAGTTAACCTAGATCTAAACGGGTCAACCCGAACCTGACGAGTTTTTGCAAACGGATCGGATATTTCAACCCGACCCTAACTCATGCGGGTTGCCGAGTTGACGCAACCCGACCCGGATTTAGGAGATTTGGCTAAAGAAGTGCCAGCTGAGCTCCCGTCGCTACTTCCAGTTCCTATTCAAAGATGGCTGCAAAGCAGCGACAATGACAGCGAGTGGAGATAGCGAGCGGAGTCCTCGAGTGTGGGCGGATGGCTGTCGGCGAGTGTGGGCGAAAATTTGGATTGGACTTCGATTTTTGGGTCATTTTTTTGGTTAATTTCAGGTTTTTGGGTCAACTCGTACCTGACTTGATTTTAGAACCCTACCCATTTGCTAACCGGGTCAATCCAAACACCAATTTTTCCGGGTTGGATGGTCCGAGTCGAGTTTCAGGCCGTGTCAAAAATTGACACCCCTATAGTTCTCCCTTATCCCATGTGATTTTTCTCAGATTTGAATTTTCCACAAACTTTTTGTATTCGTTTATGTTTTGTATAGATCGTGATTTATTAAGGCCAAATTTTCGGAACAAGCGTATTTGTTTCCTATTTTAGCGGAAGAAGCGTGGTTAGAAATTAATTTAAAAACAAGCAAATACGCTGAATATTCTGACGCAGTTTAGAATGCGTGAAAAAGTTAAGCGCATTAAGAATACGCTATTAAATTAAGCGCATTTTCTGGACATAGAAAATCAGATGAAAGAGGTGGAGTGTGGGCGAGGAGAGAGAGAGTGTATGTAAATATGCCTTTTATGTAAATATAATATTAAATTGTGCTTAACTAAATTGTGCTTAACTAAATATAATATACATAAATAATTTAAATATTTAATACTAAATTGTATTTTTTAAATGTAAATATGCCTTTTATGTTTAAATATAATATTTATAAGAAATTAAATTATTTAATTAATTATTTATCTTTTAACAAATTTTAAAAATTATTTATTTATCTTTTAATAAATTAGATTTTAAAGAAGAAAAATAATTTTCAATTTTTATAAATATTTTCTTAAAAATAATTTTGAAGTATAAATAATTATATTATATTTAAACAAAAAATATAATACAATTACTTTTAGTTTTATATTAAATATTTTTTTAAAAAATATTTATTCGATATTAAATATTAGTTAAAATCTATTTTAAGTTATTAACTTATTATTAAATATTTAACTAGTTTTAAATATTTAATTTTTATTTATATAATAATTAAAAATTTAATAAAAACCCTACCCGCATTCCTCATCTATCTCCCCGCCCACACATTCTCTCTCTTCCTGCGCATACACTCTCTCTCTCCTCGCCCACACTCTACCTCTTTTTATGTCCAGAAAATACGCTTAACTTAATAGCGTATTCTTAATGCGCTTAACTTTTCACGCATTCTAAAATGCGTCAGAATATTCAGCGTATTTGCTTGTTTTTAAATTAATTTCTAACAACGCTTCTTCCGCTAAAATAGGAAACAAATATGCTTGTTCCGAAAATTTGGCCATCAAAGAATGCTCCTTTATTTTTATTTTTTATTCTTTCTTTTTTTAACATTTACTTTTCCTTTCTTTTCCCACTAACCATCAAAGAATAGTCAGCATTGCTTTTGCTTTCTCATTGTATGAAAGGAAGATATTGGAAGGATTGTCTACAATGCTTTATTGCTTTTAGGGGATTCTATTATTCAATTTAAATAATTTAGCTTTTTTTACATAATAATTATTTTTTTAATTAGCATATAATTTATCTAACAACTTTTCTTCCCTCCAAGTTTTTTTCACCATGTTTTTATATAGATTAATGTTTGTTAATATATTTGCTTCTGGAGTTGAAATAATATTTCCAATCTTTAAACTCTTAAGAGTGAATAATTAACCAAATTAAATTATCATTTAATTGTAATCATAATTAAGTCTCCTAATGATAAATAAAGAGGTTTATGAATATATTAAAACACAATAACACATTAAGGAAATAAAATGAAGCCAATATACGACTAAATAAAAAATTTCATTTTACCAACCAAATAGATTAGCCTAATGGTGTAAAAAGAGTTGAGCTGAGCTCGAATCACCCCTAGCTTGAACTTTAAGCTTCATCAATTAATTGAGTTCAAGCTAAAAAAAAAAAAAGAGTTCTAGCCCAAGGACAAGCTTAATCCTATGAGTTTGAATCAGCTCACAAGTCTGCCCATTTATTATAAAAAAGAGAGAAAAATTGGTTTGATTTAAATATTATAATAAAATAATTAAAAGAATAATTTTTTTTTTGGAGAAAAATAATAAGTAGTTGATATAATGAAGTGAGATATAGTTTTTAATTAAATTTTTTATAATTTTTTACTTGAACTCTTAAGTGATAATATATTTTAAATGTATTTTGCATTACTATTATTTAAAAGAGTTGGCTATGTAGCTCACCCTGATCTATTAGTTGGGAGCTTTGGCTACCAACCAAGAGGTCTTGGGTTCAAATCTTATATCTGTGATGTGTGTATGTGAGTTTGTCTTAACTAGCCTAAATGTCCCACAAAAAAAAAAAAAAAAAAGAGTTGGCTCTCAAACATGGTTCATTAACTCATCAAACTCGGCTCATAAATCATTTATCAAGCCAAACTTGAGTTGACTCATGAGTCAACTTGACTCACTTGTATCCTCTCTCGAAGCTTAAAATTATCAATGCATTACTCTGCTAAACTTAAGCCCCAACCAAGCAAACCCTACAAACTACTCAAAATACGCTTAAAAAATCAATACTTCTCACATATATCTCTAAAAATCTTATGCAAACATAGACAAAATTATCAAATGATTCATACCATCAAATAAGAATAAGATGATTTTATTTCATATATCAGAATTACCAACTAAGAGAAACAAGAGTGACAAACAAAACTATAACTGGTAAAATAGTCTTCTATTTACCATCAAATTTCACTCAAAGCCAGCTCTCAAAAGCAAGGAGGGAGAAAGCAAAATTTAAGTCTAATTTAAAGCAACTGGTCATAAGTTGCTAACACTATAATGCATATAAATTCTTGAATTCTGTAAAAGAAGAACAACAAAACTGCCATTAAACAGAGGGAACCTTTACAGAACCATTGATAGGCTCAGCAACAGAGCGCTGGAGGTCGAGATTGATGGGAAACATTTCACACTGTGCGATTTGAGCCATTAGCTGATCTACAAGAACCAAAGCAGCCATTGCTTCCACCATTGGCACAGCTGAAAGAGAATCAAGTAATCAACTTTTTGAAGAACAGGGGAGAAATATAAAGAGAGAGTTTAAGAAGAGTGAACTAGTTTTAATGATTTGCTGGGAGGATAAGAACCTCGAGGTAGAACACAAGGATCATGACGACCCCTTGCGAGGAGTTCGGTTTCCTCTCGGTTTCGAGTAACTGTGTTTTGTTTCTTCTGCAGAAATAAGTTGAAACAAACAATCAGGTGTAGCTCTATATCAAAATTAGCATTGCATGCAGCATGATTGATCTTATTTCTTTGAAGAGAAAAAAATAAGTAGGATAACGAAGTCTAGCCAACTCATGACTCATGAACTAGCTAGTGAGCAGAGCTTGATGACTTAACCCATTAAGTTTGAGCTAATCCTAAATTGACCCATTAGTTTGTAAGGCAACATATTTACAAATTATTAATATAAAATTTACTTAAAATATATTAAAATTCAAGAATTGAAGAACAAAATTGTTAGAAATAATAAAAAAAATTTATCTTCTTTTATCTCAATAAATTTCATTTATACACAAATAATTTAGGACCTGATGATGTTTCAATAGAGGTATGGAAATGCTTAGGAGATGATGGAATTTCTTATTTTACAAAACTTTTGAATATTATTTTGAAGAATAAAAATACGCCAAATGAGTGAGAAATGAGCTTGTTCGTTTCTATTTTTAAAAATAAAGGTTATGCATAAGATTGTGCAAATTATAGATGAATTGAGCTAATGTATCATACTTTAAAACTTTGGGAGGGAGCTATTGAGCATGGGTTACGACATGATACTAATATTTCTCAAAATCAATTTGGATTCATGCCGAGTAGGTCTACTATGGAAGCTATACATTTATTGAGAAATTTGATGGAGAAGTATAGAGAGAATAAGAAGAATTTGCATATAATATTAATTGACTTAAAGAAAACTTATGATAAAATTCCAAGAGAAGTGCTATGGAGAGGTTAATAATGTTTATACACAAGTCGTTAAGGATATATATGTAGGAGCTATTACTTGTGTAACTGTGTTCAAACACTAAGTGATTGGATCAAGTATTTTCCTATTTCAATTGGATTATATTAAGGATCAGCTTTAAGCCCATATCATTTTGCTTTAGTCATAGATGTCCTTACTAGACATTTGAAAGAGGATGTACCTTGGTGTATGCTTTTTGCTGATATATTCTTCTTGTTGATAAGACTAGAGAGGAAGTTGAAGGTAAACCTGAATTATGGAGGTCAACCAAAGAGTATAAAAGTTTTCGTTTGAGTAGATCTAAAACTAAATACATGGAGTGTAATTTTAGTAGTAATAGATCTAGTGGGAGGATTGCGACTTTAGGCGATCAAGTCATTAATAAGAGTACATGTTTCAGATATCTTGAGTCTATTGTTCAGAGTAATGGTGAAATAGATGTGAATATTATTAGTAGAATTCAATTTGAATGGTTGAAATGGAGAAATGTATATTGAGTGATAGAAAAGTACCCCTCAAACTTAAGGAAAAAATTCTATAAGATGGTGGTGAGACCTGCAATGCTTTATGGTGCAGAATGTTGACCATTAAAAGAGAAACATACAATTAGTAAAGTGTTGCAGAGATGAGGATGCTTAGGTGAATGAGTGGCTTTACTCTTAGAGAAAGAATGCGAAACGATCATATACGTGAAAAGGTTGGAGTAGCTCTAGTGGAAGATAAGATTATTAGAGAGATTCGCCTTAGATGATTTGGTCACATAAAATGTCGACCTTCTAATGACCCGGTTAGGAGAGTAGATGTATTAGATTTGACCTATGTTAAGAGAGGTAGAGGTGGGCCTAAAAAGACTTTGTTAGAAAATATTAAAAATGACTTTTATTTATTAAATTTAAATGAAAATTTGACTCTTAAAAAAACAATAGAGAAAAAAAATTCATATAGCTAATCCCACATAGTGGGATAAAGGTTTGACTTTGTTATTGTTGTTTTTGTATTTATATACAAATAATTTCATTTTTACATAATTTGGTAACATTTAGAATTATAATATTATCTCTTTATACGTATGATTTTGCTAATGAGTTGACATGAACTTAGAATTAGGCTCGAACTCTACTTAGTAGTCAAGTTAAAACTAGAAATAGCCTGCATTTAACAAGTTGCATAAAAGGAAATAAAAATTTCTTAACCACAACCATTACTCTTAAAAAAATTATGTGCTAAGACATGAAAGGAAAATGCCTTGCTCACAAGTGCCATGTGACAAAAGTATCATTAGTGTTCACACGGTCAAGAGCCCACATAGTCCCCAAGAGTCGTTTGCCCACCAATTATAACTTGCCACATGGTCAGCCTAGACCACATGACTAATGCTTGCATGGGTGGGCATTGCTAAAAAAATAAAACACAATTTGAATTGGCATTTTACATTTCCTAGAACAAAGTCAAATATATGAACGTTTTGTGAGTCTTTTACCCATGAATGGTTCAAAAAATGCATAAAAGGATTGTCTAGAATGACTTACCCCAATTGTTGATGTTGGTTTAAAACATACCCTCATGTATATGGTCTCTCCATTGGATATGCCTCCCTGGACAAGAGGAATTTGTTAGCAAAATACACAGTTGGGTACCGACATTGAGATTAGGAATTATTTAATCTTTTTGGCTTTGCAATAAACAAAAATAAAAATAATACACTCAAGGCACTGGTGAGGTCCAAAACTTAGATCATCAAAGCACGTATGAAAAGTGTTTTATTAGAAAAAATTAAGACAGTTAAGATTTTAAAAAAAGTTGTGTAAGTATACGCATAAAATATGGAAGAATAAATTAAGTGAAAGCTACATTTAATAATTTTTAATCTAAGAATGAAATGCCATTTGAAAACAAAATGGAAAATTGTAATTAATAAAAAAATGGCCAAACAATATAGATTAAGAATATAAATAGTTATGTTGGGCAATAAAAATAGAAAAGCATATAATCAGGCAGCTTAGAAAACTGTATAGACTATAAGGTAAGAACGAGGAAAAATAAGTTTATGATCAAAATCCAATATTTATAACTCAAATCGAAGACATGAACAAGATGTTTACATATTATAGAAGAAAAGATAGATTTCAATAAAAAATTGTATTTAGAATGCTTTGAAAAAAGCACAGGAACAGGAACTTTCTCTGAATAATTCATGCATTATTGTATCATAGGAGCTTAATATGTGAGTTTGCTAAGGACAGCAGTTAAACAGCTTTAAACTCAAAACAAAAAGAAGTACAGAATTTAGTTAAAAAGCAGCCATAAACTTCATATCAAGTAAGAATAACCAACCTGAATACCACCTGAACGGTTTGTTCTTGTTCTAATTATCCCATTGTCATCCGTATAAAATTCATCATTATGCTGACTCCCCATCATTAAGGCGCCTATACCGAATTCCATATAAAACAGTTCAGAAAAGTGCGCTAACTCAGAATAAATCGAACAAAAGCATTGTAAACCAAAAAGGTTCTGACGATTAGTTAGTCCCATGGAAAGTTGAATTTTCTGTTGCAGAGGAAAAAGGAGCGCAAATCTGTTCTCTGATACCTACCGGAAAATCCACTTCCAAATTCAACCCCCCTAGTTGCAGGAAGTGACATCATAGCTTTTGCAAACTCTGCTTCAAGCTTATCAAAGACTGGGGATCCAAGTCCCTGCAAAAAGATTGCAATGAGAAATAAGCAATGATTGATATGGTGTTCTAAGAACGACTTCAAAAACTCCATCACACAATCGTAGGTCTAAATTTAAATAAAAACCAGTGTTTCATGGAAACATTAAAATCACACAATCACAGGGCTGGAGGTTTTACACGTGGAACATTTCTTGCAATGCAGGTCACAACACCACCAACAGAGTCACCTTTAACACGAACAGCATCAATGGCATCAATCATCTTCTGAGCATACTCTGGATCTGGACACCTGACAATGTTGCTTTCAATCTAATAAACGCAATGAAATTTTGTTAGAATTTGACTAGCAAGTGCAGTAGAAATTCTGGGATCAGTGCGTCAAGGCAGCAATCACATACCTGATCTACTGTGACAGAATCATAGTCAATCACTCCGTCAGGAAGCACAACTTTATGCACTTGAGAGACATAAGCTAATATCTGTAAAAATAAAAACATAAGATCCTTTAATAGATCCTTAGCTAAATCAATCTACAAAAGCTTCTTTACCTCAAATTCACTAGTTACATAAGTGAATACCAACCGGAAACTTCATATGGAAAACATCACATCAAACTCACAAATTATGATGTACGAATATTTAAATAAGATTATAAAAAAATAACAAGTAACGATATCTTTATGACGGGCTTATCACAGCACTAAATTAGACGCTGTGTTTTGACATCAGAAGAAGACAACCTCTACGCCTGATTTGATCCTGAGAATCTTCTTTGCAACAGCCCCCGCAGCAACTCTACCGATAGTTTCTCTGGCTGATGATCTGCCACCACCCTGCATTTTGACTTTTTCAATGAGAGAAATTATAATTCTAGAGAAATCATATGAAATATGCTTTGCTACCCAAGAATGGCAGAGAAACATATATACTTCTTATTTCTTTTGGAGAAACATAACCGTGACCCAAAAATACCTGAACTGATCTTATGCCATATTTAAAATCATATGTAGCATCTGCATGAGAAGGCCGGTATGCTATTGACATTTCACTATAGTCCTGCACAGGTCATCATAGAGGAGTCTTTTAGAAAATAAAAATTCAGAAAAGTAATCAACATTATATACAGGGGCGGAACTGTGTAGTGATGAGGGTTATTTGTAAAAAAATAAAACCCTTAATATAGTAAGAATTATTTTAGCACTAAACCAACCAAAAATATATCTCCACTTGAATAGTTACCTACAATTCACAGAAGATAATAATAGGGAAATTAATAGTGGATCGGACTTCGTTTTGATTACTTACATGACTTCTTTGATCTGTATTTGGTACAAAAACATGGATTGGAGTTCCAGTGGTCATTCCTGCACAAATTGTATCACCCCATTCAGCTCCTTGGTCAGTACACACCAAGACTATAATGATGGATTCAGCAAAAGATATATAATGTGCATGAATTGAAAAGGAAAAAGGACAAAATATACAACCTTCAGAGATTCCCGAAAGAATTTTGCATGTATCAGTTTCCTTCCTTGGAGTAGTTATTCGGCTCTGACCTGGCCTCCTTTATAGAGGACTCAGCAATTTAATTTGAAAATCTCAAAGAAAGAGAGATAAAAGAACATACTTTTACACAAATGTAAAATAAAAGTATTTACCTTCTATCAAGCTCTGCTTGCATATCAGCTTCTGAGAGGGGTAATCTTGGTGGGCAACCGCTGATTGTGCATCCAACACCTCCACCATGAGACTCTCCATAAGTTGCAACTTTAAAGTAATTTCCGAAGACGTTTCCAATGGCTTTCACCTCTACCATTTCAAAACGATGAATTCAGAATACTTGCAACAACAATGCATCCACTAAGCTACTTGCAGATGATCATGTAGCAGTTGAAACATAAAGTACCATGAAAAATGGCATGAAAGCTAGAGCCTGCAAGAACCAATTTATGGAGAAAGAGGGATACAACCAAAAATTGCTATAATATGGATGTCTGAAGCCCCTTCCTCATACTTAAAGGCGGGAAACTGGTTGGAAAAGTGTACTCTATAGCATTTTAATCAAGTAGTAAACCAAATGACTAATCATGGTATCCAACATAACGCCATTGACATCAAGCCTTTCTTGGTTTTGTTGGAACATAAAAGAACCAACAAATGAGAAAGACTTTGCAACAACGAAAATGGCAAAGGAGGAAATAGCCAATCCCCGTATCACTGAGATAAGGTGGTCATTACTGATTCCACCGCACACGTGAAGATGGAAAGGGAAATCCAAGGACGGAAATATACAGGTAGCATAAAGCAGTACACCATCCATATTACAAGAAATAGGATCGGTACACCAAATTCTTTTTTGTATTTTTTTTTTCTATGTGCAAGTTCTACTCGGCAAGATCTATGTTAATATGGAAATTGTTCCGACACGCCTGATATGAATTCCCTTGAAGCGTAGTAGCGTACAACTTTTTCCTCCAATTTGAAATCTTGAAAGGTAACAATAGTCTTTCTTTAGAATCATAACATGTGTGAATTTGCATCATTGAATGATTCCACATATTTACATGTTATATATTCAACACCAAACGATACCACTTTTGCATTTACATTTTCCAGGATTTAACTGCCCTTAAATAAATTCGTTTCGCGTTTTTTCTGCATGACTGCATAATTTCACATTTTTAAAATTTATTGGCGAAAGAACGAAAGGGAGAGAAAAGTTGAGTTCATTAGGAATCGGATAGATCCTATAAAGAAATCATTTTTAAAAGGTATGCGATGTAGGAAGCAAATTCTGTTATGCAAGCCCCGTAGCAGCAATCACATAAAAAAATTACAACCGATTGCAATAATTCATGGATTAGATTAGACATAAAACAATATGCATCATCAGTCCGAAAAGAAGCACATGAATGATTAAATAAAACCGTTCTCAGCACAGACGAATGGATTTTAGTAATCGATTTCGGAGAGAAGATGGAGAGAGGAGAGACCTAGCCTTCGAGACGGATGGGGCAACCTCCGCAGACAGATCTGGACAACGGCCGGGGAAGATAGACCACCCAGATCAGAAGGGCTGAAACCAAGGCCAAAGCCGCCATCGGATCTCCTCCCCTTCAGGAAGGCCTGCGAAGAGATGGAGGCCCCTGCCGCTGCCATCGAGAGAGAGAGAGAGATGCGGCTGTAATGCTAAGAGAATGGAGAAATTTGGTGGGGATTTTGAAGTGGAGGCAGAAGAATGAAGGAAGAGACGCCTTCCTTAAGCTCTTTCACCTCACCTACCCTGTAGTAGTTGAAGACTGACGTGGCGCTATTGACAAATTGGGTTGGTTAACTTTATTTCAATAAGAGAATTTTTTTTAATTAATTTGATTTGATAAATATTTATTATTAGGATTTATTTGAATATTTTAATTTTTTAATTATAATTAAAAATATTATTTAATTTAATCCAAATCTAATAATTGATAAATTTTTCTTTTCTTTTTTTAATTGAAAACAGATTTTTAAAAAAATTCTTTTAAAATATATTTTATATAATATCAAATAAATGCAGTGTAATTGAATATAATATCAAATAAATGCAGTGTAATTGAAATATTTTAAAATTATTTGATTAAATATAAAATAAGTTTAGATTATTTTATTGTGTTTAATTTGAAAGCTCAACTTACGAGAAAATTCATAAGATAATGGTTGGACCCACAATGCTTTATGATGTAGAATGTTGGCCATTCAAAGAGAAGCATAATATTATTTTTAGTGTTGAAGAGATGAGGATGCTCAGGTGGATGAGTAGCTTTACTCTTAAAATAAGATACGAAATGAGCATATATAATCATTTAAAGTTATTTTTTTAAAGGAAAAAAAAAAAAGATACGAAATGAGCATATACTTGAAAAGGTTGTAGTAACTCTGGTGGAAGATAAGAATAGAGAGAGTCGTCTTACATGATTTAGTCACATAAAACATCGGTCTTCTTATAACCCGATTAGGAAAGTAGATGTATTATATTTGACTTATATTAAGAAAGGTATATGTAGATTTAAAAAGACTTGGTTAGAAAATATTAAAATGACATTTCTTTATTAGATTTAAATGAGAATTTAATTTTTAAACCAGGCACAATAGAGAAAAATAATTCTTGTAACCAACCCCACATAGTGGGATAAAAGTTTAATGTTTTTTGTTTTCGATTTGAAAGCTCAACAACAAAAGTAAGTGATCATGACAGAAGCTTCCAGCAGCGAGTATAGATGATGAGCATATTTGAAAATCGGCCAAATTGACCTATTTTAAAGTTCACCGAGAATAAATAAATCAAAGAGTTTCAAATTCCTCAAAATCATGCTTTGAAATTATAGAAAAGAACCAAAATGATCCATTGACCTTTTATGAAAAACCAAAATAGTTTCAAACTATATTAAAGGACTATTTTGATCTACAACTGTACTAAAAGATCATTTTGGTCCTTCAATTCTTTAAAAGGAAACCAAAAGAGACTCATGATTGGATTCTTTTGGTTCCTTTTAAAGGACCTGAGAGATTAAAATGATCATTTAATATAATTGAAGATCATTTTGATCTTTCATAAAGAATTATGTCGAGCTAATTTGAAATACCCTAACACTCAAAATACCCGAATCAAATGACATATGAAACAAATGTCAAATATACATCCACTTCATATCTTACATATATCATTGATTTTAATACTATGAAAAAATAAATGCCTCACCAAACCCATTGCCTTCCCTTTGCAAGTGAAAAATGTGGGTCAAATGAATAAAGAACTATTCCACCAACCAACCCAGCAAAACTCTTTTTCTAAAGAAACAAGTGGACCTAATTTGAATTTATCTTATTTACAAGTGTACCATTTACCAAAAATTTCAAGTGATAAAATCATGCATTTGCACTTGCACGATTAAATTATTGGATTTCTTTGTAAAATTGCAAAATTTTATGATGACATCAAACAAAATAAGATACTGTATATTTCACTAAGCCAAAGGGACAAAAAAAGGATACAATAAAATGTCCTATAAATATTAAATTTTATGTAAATTTATCCCTCCAAAAAATTTAAGAAATATTTTTTTATTACAACATAATGAATTTGCAAATAATTAGAGATTGAACTTAGAGATTTTTATTTTATGAAGGAAGGTGTATTAAAGAAAATTGAATATCTGCTTAATATAACGCAGATTCTTAGAAACTGTGGCGAGAAGGTCAGTTATTTTTAAAATAATCATCAGAAAATATGATAAAAAAGAACTATCAAATTATCAATAATACCCCTGTTTGGTTTTAAATAAAATATATGAAAAAGTCAGATATATTGAGAATAAAATGGCCGAATTATTTAAAGTAAGACTTCATTTGGAACGGCTTTCTTACTGCTTCTTAAAGCAGTTTTCTAATACAATAAATAAAATTTTTATACTAAAAAATTGTTTTAAGAAGCAGTAAGAAAGCCGTTCCAAACGAAGCCTAACACTTCGTTTGAAATGGTTTTTTTATTGCTTCTTAAAATAGAATTTTAGTACAAAAATTTAAGAACCAATGAAAAGTAGTCCCAAATGAAGCCTAAAAGAAGATAAATGTAAGCTACAATTGGGACCACTTTCTTTCTGCTTTCTAAAATAACTTTTTAGTAAAAAAAAAATTAGTTTAAGAAATTTTTATACTAAAAAGTTGTTTTAAAAAGCAATAAAAAAGCCGTCTCAAGCAAAACATTAGTGATTTGAATTTGTCAAATTTTAAATTATGATGTAAGAAACCTTACCTCTCTCCCATGACTTGCTGCAGCAGTTGATTTCATAGCAGATCCAGCTGATCAGAAAGTGGGTAGAAATCACCTGTTGATGCTTGGAAATATAAGGGTTATTAGAACCGGGCAATTGAACAAACCAAGCATTATATATATCAGAAATAAATTTTCTTACAAACAAGCATCAATCTTGAGAACCAAAATAGAGCAATATACATGTTTCACCACTGTGTGGATTATTCAAAGAGATTTCACCCAGAAAAAGGTTAAGCTTTCAGATCACTTGTTTCTGCTCTCGCATTCTGCTCATCCTCGCCCCTGTTGTTAACCTTGATCTCCAACAGGCGCTCCACTGGTTGCCTGCATATAGGGCATCGATTTGTTTGGTACCTAAGAACCTTGGCACAACCGCTACACATGCACTGCAATGGGGGAAGAAAACCAATTCACTTATCAGAAACAAAGAGCCTTTAACTCCCGTGGTAGGAATCGCAAAAGTAGTAGTTTTACGCTTCGTTTGGGACGACTTTCCTACTGCTTCTTAAAGAAGAAGCTTTCTAAAATTACTTTAAGAAACAGTAAAAAAATCATCCCAAACGAGACCTTATGTTACATTTCACGGAGAAAGATATGATTATTTGTACTTCACAGGTTAATTTCGGATGGACAAGTATTATTGAACTGGTTAGTCTGTTGTTTCTATTTGCCAGGCCATGCATACAGGAACAGTTTCCCAGAGTAGCATGAATGAAGGTGTTAATGATGATCTATAATCACAGATTGAGATGAAAGGTACGCAATAGGCTCTTTTGGTGCTATTTTATCTGATTTTCTTCACGTCAAATATCATATCAATAAAATTGCAGGACACAAAACTCCAGTAAATATGTATTATGGAATGCAATTCAACATAATCGACTGCAAGAACAATCATGAACATGCATTTATTTCCCCTCAAAACGACGAAAAATTATTCTCTACAAAAGCCGAACCCCGTCCGGATCTAAGCCCGCGGCTTGGTACAAGTACCGAAGCTCAGTACAGCTCGGTACCACACCTCGATATCGCTAACGTGGTGATTTTGGTTGGTATCCGAATGTAGAGCTCTGTTCGACGTCCAAAAGGGCCTATTGTCCTAAACCCTAAACCCTAAATCCTAAACCCTAAGCTCTAAACTCTAAATATATCACATTGTTCGAGGAACCCTAGATGCTGTCGGAGTAAAGGATCGCCAACAAGGGCGTTCTAGTGCGTTGTAGATTCTTATCCAAGACTTGTATCATTTGATGATGCCGTGTGAATCGCTAGAAACATGTGAAGTGTATGGCTAACCCAATAACGAAAGTTTCGGAAGGGGACTGGAGCAGGCTACCATGAGACAAAAGATCTTCTTTCTAAAGAGATTCGATTCGGAACTACTATATGTCCAAGGTCCAATATTGGAATAATTTAAGAGGTTTTCCCTTCCTTTGTCCGTGTCAACAAACAATTCGAAATACCTCGACTTTTTCAGAACAGGTCCGAGTCCAATAGCAATGATTCGAAGCACTTCTTTTTCCATTACACTATTTCGGAAACCCAAGGGACTCGATCTAACAGGGAAGAAGAGTACATTTATATATATCCTTGAGGAATTTAATCATGTTTAGCAACTATGTTATAAGATGAACATGTTATCAACCCTTTAAAAATGTGCCAAAATTTTTAAAGGAACCATCCAATGTTATAAGAGTACATTTATGCTTGTAGAACTAAGAGACTCCTAAGTCCAAGCACAGATCTAAGCAACATCTTAGAAACTTAGAAATCTGGGATAAAAGGTTCAATATGATGTTACCATATGTCTGCAGGGTAGGACAGTAGTGTCTCTTGGTTCTGAGAGACAAATCACACATTCTTTGCCAGGATCATTCCCATCATAATCACCATCAACAGAATTTCCTATTCCATAGATCTCTTGCAGCTCGTATCTGGTTCCATTCACCCACAAGATCTGTTTCACCACACGAACTTGGTATTCGCCATTCTCCTTCTTCTCAAAAACCGCTTGAGTTATCTGCGAGTTTGGAGTAACAGTACCATGACTTCCTTCCAGTCCTTGCTTGTCAACATGGCATGCTTCTGCTTTGATTGCCAATGGGTAAGCATCTGTTTCCCCCTCCTTAATCAATTCTGCTTCCTCAAACATTGAGAGGTCAATCCCAGTACTAGATGGCTGCTTGAACTTCTGGCCAAGTCCATCATTGAATGAAACAGTAACTGGGGAAAGCAAGCCATCCTTTGTTGGTATAAGGTTACAGTCAAGTCCTTCTTTGGCAAAGAAGAAAACAGAAATGCTGTAAATGGATGGAAATGAATCAGATAACGAGTATTATTGTATAACAAAAAACGGAAGGTACAGATTACTTATAAAATTTAGAAGTATATTAAAGTAAAATAAACTAAATGTGTTCATTCAAAGGTATTAGTTAACGTTTGAGATGAAAAGCAAATTATATAACTCAAATATTCAAATTCCCAACGACCATAAAAATTTGATATAAAAAATGAATATCAATTTGGAGCTGATCAAAGATACCTAGCTATTGCTTATCGGTCTAAAAGCAAACACTTCAATTATCTGTTGAAAACAGTTGCACATGCAAATAAATATGGATTGTCATCAAAGAATATTAGCCAGAAAATCATCCACAAAGAGAAACTGCTGAAATTCATCAAACTGGAACCCAACGAGATAAATGCTCAATAGCTATACCAGCAAGAGGTCACACCATGTCCCACTTTTGCTTTTAGAAGAAAGTTAAAATATGTATAGGAAAGATTTTGGGCTCCAGGACCCCTAATTTTTCTATTAACCAAACGTGTATGCCATGGAACAGAATTGTTTCTACATATTCCATAGATAGTTAAGTTGATATGGTAGTTGAAATTCTGTCTAACTAAAAAAAAGTGTTCTTTGTATTAAAGGGGCACTAAATACAGTAGGGCTACTAAAACTTTCGACTGCCATAAGTGTTTGGTTCCAGCACTAAATTATCTATGCTCAGTAGTGCATGAGTCAGTAACCATAACATCTGATAGCAAAAGAGATGTCAATTGAAGCTATGGAAATGGACGGAGCGGAAGGCATTCATTTATCCCAGTTTATGCTATATGATGCATATTTCCATAATCTTCTTTTAAACTTTGTACTTTCTTATAGGGCTTAACTTATTCTTGAGTTTCCATGGACCTTACCATTCTAGCTCTTCTTTGGCAGGTGCAGGTGCCATATTCAGTTATATACAACTTCAACTTTAATTTGCTGACTTGATGACCTCTGTAAATGTCATCAAATTGCATATAAGTCAAGCTTTCCTAAACAAATATCCTTAATCGATTAGAGTTGTCAATAACAAACAGGTCGGGATGATGAGCATTCATTAGAATGAGTATTCTTTCAGGTGAATACACTTGGCATAGCTTTCAAAGCCATTTTGTTAGTCATGAAAAACTTTTCCTCTCGCCGAGTAAATAGGCGTTATAATAAGTACAAAACTGTTTAAAGATCTACCATATCTAATTTCACCATCATAACAGGCCCATCATAACTTCTCTAGCTTGCCCGATTTCTGTAACCATGTTCTTTTATCACTTTAAGACCATAACCAAGGACTTTCATCACTAACATGCCCCGCTCCAGCTAATGTACAAACAATATTTCCTCAAAGGATCAAACTACTAGTAAAAGAAATGTGGTGTGAAAAAAATTAGTAATTCACTTTTATCTTTGAATTCAGATCAAAGTAAGATGCATCAAAAGCGGGCAAAACAAGCAAAGGAGCACCTGGTCTTTATCTGCTAAGGGCCTTAGCATACTCTAATATACACGATAAATTAAAAAGTATGCCTGAATACACATACAGTACAGAAAAGAGGCATCTTTACAGTTTTATAACCATTAAACTCAACTGTGATAGGATGAAAGACTAAAAAGTGCAAAAGCAATATACCATGAGACAACACCTGTTGTCATACACATTCAAATCTGTAAGAGTAATATATAGATTGTCAATCATAAATATGAGTAATATTCACAATCCTTCGGAAAATTGTTAGCATTTGCACAGTCATTTAGTGAAAAAAAGGAAATCTGAAACTTAAAGGTTTGACCAAGGGGGTTCATCAGGTGCCAGTAGAGAACCTAGGCATATTCTGTTATTTTTATATTCAGGGATATTTACATGTGATGCGCCATAAACTAGAGGTATTACATGATTAAAAATAACAACAAATTCTTCAAGACACATAAAGGGTACTGCTTTGAAAATCAGATGCTGTAATATCTACTAAGTGCTAGGCTAAATGTTATGTCATCGCCAATTTATGAAAAATTACTCCACCTTTATGTACAAAAGAACGCTCAGCATCCACAAACCAACTATCATCTATTTTGGAAGATTCAAAGACTGCCACCAGTTTAATAACTCTGATAATTCAAATAGATTCATCTAAGTTATCTCCTCCACCATGAGCAACACCATCAACCCAATCATCAACTCCGTCCATCATCTCTCATTTGTTTGAACATTTGGCATAATTACTAAATTGTATTTCCGGTCACATGATTGCAAGGTGCATCTTATGATTGCACAAATCCTTTTCATGTGAGCCAAAGCATGAACTTGTATTAAGAGTTTTTTCCACTCCAACCACTCATATTGAAAAATGTTAGCCTCAAAGTTAAAAGGGTTGCTTAAGTATTCAGTCACCATCCTTACTTCATGATCATTGCATGCAAGTGTCAAACAAAATAGCAAAACTACCATAGCCTTTTCAAGTGCATAAAAATCTTTTCAACACATTCCATTATATTCACACAAAAATGTGTCACTAACCGATACTATATAGGGAAAGAACCTCCATGCCACTAGTAAGTCCGCTCACAAATATGCAAAGATCAGAACTATCAAGTTTCATAGAAAATAGCTCCATACGTAAGGCCACATAATTTTGTTGCAAGATGCTTTTTGGGCTTTCATGGCTAGTTGCCACCTTTAGCATTAGACATATTATTGTATGTCAATAGTGCCATTTGAACAAATATGTGAAAACTAACGAATTTAAGAAAGAATGCAGCACTAAAATAGGAACTTGGATAGTTCATTACGTAGACAAAGGATATTGAAATTATTTTGAAAGAGCGTAACAAAAGGTATAATAAAGTATATTATAAATTGAATAAAAAAATAAATTGGAATTTGCTCAAAAAAGATGTATAAAGTTAACGTTTTAACTTTTAAGTTCAAAAAGACATCTATTGAGATTTGAAGATTTATGGGAGATATTGTAATGATTTAGTGAATAATTTTTCAATAAATTTTGAAGAATAAGAATATGTCAAATGATTAAAAAAGAAGAATTTTAATATCATATTTAAAAATCAAGGTGATGTACGATTGTGTTAATTATGAAGAAATGAAATTTATGAGTCAACACTAGAGCTATGGAAGATAGTAATGAAATATAAACTTAGAAAAATTAAATTATTTTCTATTAACCAATTTAGATTTATGCAATAGAAATTTACTACATAAGTAATTTTTGTGTCAAGATAATTTATTGAGAAATATAGAAAACAAAGAAAGGATTTTCCTCTGTTTTTATTAATCATGAGTCAGCACATGATCAGGTACAATGATAATTGGTTGGTGTGCTTCAAGGCAGAAAGGTTTGTCTCGACTATCTTAATGTTATTCAAAAATATGTACAATAAAGCAATGACTAGTATTATAATTAATTGTAAAGTATACGAGCTTCTAATTACCACAGGTTTACATCAAGAAACAATATTGAAAAGAACTATATTTGTATTGATTATAAAGACATAAGATTCTTGGAAAAATAATTCAAAGTAAGATGACATGGTGTATGCTTTTTGCAAATGATATAGCTCTAACTAGTGTTACATGTATTGAACTAAGTAAAAAATTAGAACAATAGAGGAAATATTTAGAAGATAAAGGGCCATAGAATAAATAGGAAAAAAAACTGAATATAATGATATGTAATTTTAATTTGTATCATATTAATAAAAATATTTCAATAATATTAAAAAATAAGGTGAGACCTAGATATGATAAGTTTAAGTATCTTGGATCTAATATACAAAAAATAAATATATAAATAAGAACACAACTTCAAAAGATAAAGATGGATGGTTAAAATGGAGGAAGGACTTTGAATAATGAGATAATATAATGATGAGTTAAAGGTAAACTTTCAAAATTGTGATTATACTAGCTATATTGTATGATTCAAAATACTGGGATGTACAAAATTCATTAATATCTAAGTTGAGTGGGGCATAAATGATAATGTTAAAATGGACATGAAAAAACTAAAAAGGATAAATTAAAGAAAGATTATATTAGAGAAAAGAAAGGAGTAATATTCATTGCTAGTACACTTAAGATAATTTAAACATCTATAATAAAAGGTAGAATGCACTTGTTAGACAAATCAATAAAAATAGTATCAAAGGACTATGAAGGAAATGAGATAGACATAAATTTACATGGATAGTCGCTGGTCAATATGATTTGCAAATAACATGTTTAAAAGATTAAACGATGATCAAAATGAAAGAATGAAAAATAACACCAATCCCAAATAGTTGGGTAAGGATAATGATGATGTTTCGTTAAGTTTTATCTTGAATCATACACATTAAGCACAACATTATCCAAATGCCACTAGGAACTTTCAACAATTTCTTGATTCCACAAAGGTCATTCATAGTGATAATTTAAGTTGAAAGAAATATTCAACAACTTAAAACATGATAAGCATGGCCTACTCTTTTATTACACGGGGCTTTCACAATAAGTCTAATTCCTCATCTAGCATTTGGTAGGGAGGTCGAATCCTCACGTTATCAATCAAATATGCAGTGCTGTTGAAATAGCTGTCATAGTGTGAGTGTGCAGACCAGCCAAAGAAGCTTAAATAGTGAACAAGTTTTTTTTTTCATATGACCTGATCTAGATGCTTCAAAGTGTGATCATAGCATGTAAATCACAAATGCAAAATCACAAGTTTTTTTATACCTTCGCCAAAATTTATACCAAGGAAAAATAAAAACAAAAGCTATATGCGACAAAATTTTCATTTGAATAGTTAATTTTGAACCATAATTGATCATAAGGCTTTTGGAAAGTAATGGCCTCTGGGAATTACAACTAAGCAGCACTATCAAGCTATAAAAACCATCAGCAAATGACAGGATTCAACAAACAAATACCAGGATTACATTAACCAGCTACAAGTAAAATGGTACAGCTAGATCCTAACTCTCCAAATTTTCAGAACAAACAAATCTCGCATAAGAAAATAAGGTGTGCAAGACAGGGGGAACAAAAACACTACCTTCCAGAAACAGTGGCATCAAAGGTAAAGGTTACAAGATATCTGCCAGGATTCTCCTCATCGGGCACAATCCTCAGAGTTTCTTTCTTGAGATTCACATCATTCCTTATCGTGACTGCTTTCTGGTGCTCCACGAAAGGAGTAGGCGGGGGCGGCGGCGCGGGGCAGTACGGATACCTCGGCGCACTGGCCCACCCCGGGTGATAAGCAGGGTGATCCCCACCGGCACCACGCTGGTAATGATCAAACGGCGCAGGCATCGGGGCGGGCATCGGCGGCGGTGGCGGGTAAGATCCAACGTACTGATAATACTGCGGAGAATTAGGGTTGGGGTATTGAGGGTACGGCGTCGCCGCAGCAAACACATACCGATTACCAGCAGAGACCTCAGGAGACGGCGCCGGAGGCACCGACTGCGGCGCAGGCGGTGGAAGAATCGAAGGCGCGTGGTGCTGATGGTGATGTCCATGGTTTCTCCTTCGACCCGCGCCTCCTCCCCCTCCTGCGCCTCCTCCCCCACTACTCCCCGTGTTACCCATCGCCTACCCTTTCTCTTCCTTCAATTACCCCGAGCAGCTCGCAGGAATCACGCAATCAAAAGAAATTCCACCAATCAAGTACAAAAACCCCTTCGAAACCGTATTAAACTACGACAACAAAAGAGAAGATTTCGCCGACACATGAAACCCTAATAGGAATCGTTAAATGCCACTCGAAGCTACCGATGGGGAGAGAACCTGCTTTATTTCTGCTAATGGAAGGTTGCGTAACGCTCCACCCACGACAATCCCAGCGTAAAAGAATTCCAGTTGAAAGCTCTTTAAAGAAACACAAAGTTACAGTTTTTATTGTTTTTTCACCTTTATATATTCCAGCATAATACAGCCGTTACCGCTCCGCTGCAAGTTAACGGCAATTCCCCAACGGCATGTGCAGAGTTCCGTTAATGAAATATTATATGAGTAGTTTTTTTTTTTTTTTTTTTTTTAAGGAAGCATTGACCTTAGACCAGTAAAAATCCCGGTCGACCTAGCATGCAACCCACACTAATTTACACGGGTCAGCACTTAAGGCTTTTACTGCTTGCCAAGCGATTCGAAACATGGACCTAGGCTTTGTCCAGTCGATTCTTCACTACCCGGACAAGCAGCGTTGGGTTATATGAGTAGTGTTATTAGGGATAAATTATTATGTGCGGTCAAATGATTAATCAGAATGTGTTACATTATATTTTTTGCTCGTTATTGGTGCTAGATGTCGAACAATGTGACGCAATCTGATTGACCTCCGAAGTATCCTGTGTCGGCACAAAATAATTTATGCTTATTATTATTTTATTTGGATATGGTAGCTTTTTATAAAATTAATTAAAATTTTATTTTAATGTCAAACAATTATACATGTAAATTATCTTCATTAATGTCATATAAATGTTCTTCGTATAAATCATATTATATTAATATGAAATAATTATTTATCTTAATTATTTGTAGACCATAAGATAAGTATGAAAGCCATTGTCTTCACAACTTGAAAGCATTAGTTTTGATAAGGATGATAATATTTGAATATTATAAATTTAATATTTGGTTATATTTGAAGAAATTAGAGAAATACAAATATATTTTACTTCATAATTTATGAATAATATTTGATTAAATTTAATTTAAATATTAGGAGTATAGATCAAATCAAACATATAGGTTAAAGCTTCGTTTGGAACAGCTTTCGTATTGCTTTCTAAAACAGCTTTCTAGTAAAAATTTCTAATTCAAGAAATTTTTTTTAAAAATTATTTTAAAAAACAATAAAAAAATTTATCTCAAATGAATTAGACATATTTTCTTTATTTATTTTCAATCAATGTGAGCCTTTACATGTTAGGTTTATGACTTAGGGATTGCTCCACCTTATATTTAAATCATTGCCATGTTAAAAGACTGCCTACTAACAACCTAATTTAATTAAAAAATAAGCAAAATATAAATAAAATAATAAAGATAAGTAAAATAAAAATAAAATAATAGTTGCATACAAATAATTTTTGTTATATTCATTTTTCTTTCAATGGATATATTTTTATATTTATGTCACATATAAAAGACTATTGAAAGCCTAAAAACCTTAGGTTGCCAATGAAATTTTGACTAAACAGAGGTTGAGTGTGCAAATTATGAATGCATAATGTAAAATCTAAGAATGTCAAGGTGCTATGTGTTGTTTGATATTAACATTTATGCTTTCAAACGCTTCATTTGGTACCGCTTTATTATTGCTTTCTAAAGCAATTTTTTAGTACAAAAAAATTAGTTATTTTTTTTAAATTAAAAAATTACTTTATAAAGCAATAAAAAATCTACTCCAAACGAAGCCAAAATTTCCACAAGTGGCCTTAGGATGGAAAATATATTAATTAATAAAATAAATATGTATAGTTAATTTCTAAAAAAATTAAATAGTTTCCAAAAAAAAAAAAATTTAATACAGAATTCTTTTCAGTAGAGTTCCTTCAATTCAGGAAAAAGATTTACTAAAATATAGATGATTAGTTACAGACAACGTCAGAATAGAAGGCTATAGTTCTGCGCTGGCAGTCTTTAACATTCAGTAGTTCAACATCAAAAACTTCATACTGCTTTGAGCTGAAGAAAGTGGATGGTCCCACCTGTAGCAAGAAATTTACAAAACACTGAAAATCACTCATAAACAAGTCCATGTACTCCTGATGATTTCATTTTCCTATCCAACATTGTAATATGAAAACTTCTTTCAATAAGATCCTCTTGGATCATAACTCTTCATTTTAAGCACATTCGCTCCTCCAAATGAGGGTAAATTATTCTGTGCAACTACAGACGTCATCTGGAGGTGAATCAGAACACACCACATCACCCGTTTGCTGTGCACCGGGTGATGTGGCGTGTTCTGTGTGCCGCTGTGCACCGGGTGATATGGCGTGTTCTATGTACCACTGGGTATCGGATGACGTGGCATATTCTGATTTGTCTCCAGACGGTCCAGTGTCCGCACAAAATAATTTCTCTCAAATGAGGATTATTTTTCTTTTTTGGTTTCATAGCATTGTTATTTTTTCTGTTCCTTTAAGCCTTCGGATACTTTTGTATTGTGATGGCTCATCCTCCTAGAGAAATTATGGATCAACAATTGGGATGACTTTGTGTTCTTTATTAAGAGGAGAGCTCTTAACCCTCTCACAAAATCATCTTTTCTACCAGTCTTCCCCCATCTCATGTGAGGTGGAATAATATACCGACTGCTTTATACTCTCTCCTTTTATAAGCATAATTTTTTATTGTTCACGATAGAAGATAGCATCCCTATCCCACAAATATGGCCTACGCATTCATTATATGGCATACATCCAACGATACAACTTTATGAACTACATCAAAAAAAGATTTTTGGGGTAAGTAAGCCCAAAATCTTTCCTATGACTATTCGTGCTCAAGCTCATGAACGAATAGGATTTTGGCAAACAAGCTGAGGCGAGCAGGAACGAGCAAGATCCTGCTCGCCCCAGGTCGGCTCAATTCATTTGTAATCCTAGTTGCTATAACAACTGCTCTATTGCTCTAGAGGTATGTAAAGAGCAAGATAGACTAAGGCTTCATTTGGAATTGCTTTTTATTATAAGAAATAACCTATTCAGAGAAAAGCAATAACATAAATTTATTCAAATTTGGCCTTATTATCTCCTAAACTAACTACATAAAATAAGGAAGAATGTTATCACTGACTATGCAATTTAAGAACTTCATTCTATCTAAATCAACTCCTCGAAAAAAAAAAAATCAAATTTAAAAGCAAAATAAAAATTTATCAAAAAATTTGTTAAAGTTAACCATATCTTATTGTATGTATCACTGTCCAACAACAACAACAACAAGTCGTTATTCCACTACGTGATGTCGACTACCTGAATTCTTTTTTCTCCATTGCACCTATTAAAAATCAAATTCTCATTAAAATCTAATAAAAAAAGGTCATTTATATGCCTTCTAACCAACTCTTTTTAGGACTACCTCTACCTTTCTTAATATAATCCGGATCTAATACACCAACTCTGGTGACCGGAACATCGGAAGGGCAACGCTCTATGTGACCAAAGACTCTTTAATCTTATCTACCACTAAAGCTACTCCAACCTTTTCATGTTTATACTTGTTCAACATTTTATCTCTAAGTGTAAAACTACTCACCCACCTGAACATCCTCATCTCTGCAATACTCAACTTAATTTTATGCTTCTCTTTTAATAGCCAACATTCAGCGTCATAAAGCATTGCAAGTCTCACCACCATCTTACCAAATTTTCCCTTAAGTTTAAGGGATGCTTTTCTATCACACAACAGGCCCGATGCATTCCTCCACTTCAACCATATCACCATCCAATAGTTCAAATTTCTTGCTTCTTGACCTTGATCATCAAGCATCTCATTGAGAATCCATCTTTGCATGTGATCTTCTGATGATTTAATCTTCCTATACAATATTCTGATCTAAAACTTTCTGTCAATAATCTAATATTGTACTACACATGTTTACAAAAGCAAATACTAATGACTAATGAGAATTGTGAAACTTACTGGAGGTCCAAGTTCAGGAGGAATGATGATCCTTCGTTTACCCCCAGGTTTCATGTCATGTATGCCTTCCTCGAACCCTACATTTATTTCTTGTCAGAGATGTCGATCAGGAAATACAAGAAATAATGCTCGATTATACCAAAACTGAGATATGCTTGCCTGGAACTAATGCATTATTGCCTAGACGGATCTTAGCTGGTGATCCCTGTGAATAAGTGCTATCAATGCGGCGCCCCGATTCGTTGTAACCAATATAGTGAAACGTCACCTGATAGTAGCAGTAACTGATTAACAGTATTGTTCTGAAGGCAACGAGAAAGATTGAACTGAATTGTGCTTGGGATAGCAATTAGATGTAAAGAAGCAAACAAAGATAAAGGACCATATTGCTGTTAGATATTGGTCCTAGCTTTGTGTTTGTAGCTAGTTATGTAGCTTGTTATGTTGCTTTTGTGCCTATAAATAGGCTATAGATTGTAATAGCTTAGTATGGTTTAAGAAATACAATATGTGAGTTTTGCCTCTCTCCCTCTCCCCTTCCCTCTCCCTCCTCCTCCCCAAGAAGCTCATGAAGGGAGTTCTTCTTCCTCAATCAAGATCCTAACAAGTGGTATCAGAGCATCATTGGAGAAAACTGAGCAAGGTGGAGGAGGCAGAGGCGTTTTTCTTGTCCAAAGAAAACGATTCAAGAATGAAGGAGGCGGCGGACCGGGCGGCGTTTGCTCATTAGACATTGCTGTAGACAGGGGTAAAGAAGCCGGAGATGGCTTGGTGCCTCGCGTAAGGTGGAGCTAGAGCATGTGAAGCAGGAAACTCAAGAAGGTGGCATAGCAGTTCTTGAGGTGTTGTAAATTGTGTGGTGGACGCTATTGGCAGGGAAGACCAATGGGGCTGTTCTTTGTGAACAGAAGTTATTTTTTCTTGTGTGTGTAAATCTAGGATCAAGGTGGAGAATTGTTAGAAATTGGTCCTAGTTTTATGTTTGTAGCTAGTTGTGTAGCTTGTTATGTTGCTTTTGTGCCTATAAATAGACTATAGATTGTAATAGCTTAGTATGGTTTAAGAAATACAATATCTGAGTTTTGCCACTCTCCCTCTCCCCTTCCCTCTCTCCCTCCTCCCCAAGAAGCTCATGAAGGGAGTTCTTCTTTCTCAATCAAGATCCTAACAATTGCACTGAAAGTTAAAGTTACAGTTAGCCCATCAAAATTTCCAACAATTTAACAATGAAATTTTCATGTCTGGTGGGAAAAAACTATAGGAACTATGACAATTTAGTGAGAGAAACAATGAATTATTCTTGATGACAAGACTAACCTGTTGGCCATCCTTGGGACAATCACCATTACCAACTTCTATGTCCAAATATATGAGGCCTGAACGACGTCTCACATATTTATCAGAAGTCACTACTTTCACTTGAAAACCTGGTTATGGTCCATGTTCGTAATAGTTAACAATTTTGAAGATATTACCAAGTAACTGTGGCTAAAACTGTATACCAGAAACTCATATAACCACCATTGAAATACCTGATAGAAAAAAGAAACAAAGATTTAGCTACAATACTTTTAAGTTTAAATTACAATCGATTAGCTATATATCCTCCATAGCAATGGCACGAACCATGCATCCCATAACCAGTTACTTTATAGCTTTGACCAAGAAGATTTAAGTGGAGTTTGGGAAATAAAACAAGTTTGCTAAGGCTTCATTTGGGACAGCTTTCTTTCTGCTTCTTAAAGCAGCTTTCTAGTATAAAAATTTTAATTTTTGCACTAAAAAGCTGCTTTAAGAAGCAAAAAGTAAGCCATCCCAAATGAAGCCTAAGAGACGCCTAGGAAGTGGAGATTTGGGAACACTCAGAATATAAGTAAGCTATAAAAAAATCATCTGGAGAAACTGCCATCGTTGGTATCAAGTCTAGTTAAGAAAGGTGAGGGTTGATATTATATCGACAATACTTCTGCTCACGAAATGAATTAAAATTAGAAATTTCCTAGTGCTAGAATGTTTCCCATAAGCAAAGCTCAATGACTTAATCCAATTGTGGAGAGAAATAAGCAAGGATTTCTAAGGACACTACTTAAGAGTGCAGCATCAGAACTTAACCAATTTACTTTACTCGATTGCAATGAAAGGTAGGCAAGTCTTGGCTAGGATGCCACCTACAAGTAATGTGCTATAATTTAAACTAATCATACTAAAAAAATGAGCAATATATTGACAGGGTTTAAAATTAGAATATATTTGTTAAAAGAATTTTGGGATTTGAAAAGAAAGAGTAGAGAATTAGGAGTCACAATGATTAGAAGAAGACTCAATCTTTCCTGTTTTCAAGAAATTTTAAAAAAAGGGAGAAATCAAAGGGTATAGGGGAACACAATAAGCTATTATATGATTAACAATGAGTTTGCAGGGGTAACAGTAAGATCAAATAGCTAAAAATTGGAGTTAACAAGGTGAATATGGTTAACTATAGAGTGTTGTTATTATATTAATTATTAATAAGGACATCATAAATATGGTTAGTGCTGTGTTACCTATGAAGCAAAAATAGTCCTCCAACATGTCTAAAATCCTTAATCATGTATGGAATATTTCTTGCCAAAGGCAGAGTTAGTCGCAACTCAACATAAACACAATTTAAGCCCTTTTGGGGTGAAATATTTTATAGTCTAATGCACAATTTGGATCAATTTACTTAAAAAATCATATATTGCTCCTCTTAATTTCATAGCTCCCATCCTCAACAGCCAATATTTATAGAAGCTTCACATTTGCATTTGTGTTTTCTCTTATTTAGTATTCCCGTATGTTTTTCCTTAATACATACAATCTTCTTCCTCCATCCATATCTTGTTAAACCCTCACATTGACTCGAGTACCATGCCCTCATACGCTACTACTCCATCAAGCACGAAGCTCACAACCGCTCTACAATGCCGCAATTGATGCTCTTCCTCTCTTCATTGTGATGCCTTATCACTGTTCTGACACCTTGAGACCTTTACTTCAACTCAAAAGCTATTTCTTTCTCCTGTGCTCAAGTAAGGCTAAAGACTTCAACTTTCCTCCCCCAAATTTTTCTATGATTTATTTTTCTCTTCTCAGAGTAGAATTTATTTTATTTTAAGACGTCATTTAGTACAAATTATCTATTTTAGGTTTTCTTAGAAAAGTAATATTAATGTTGTTTTTTAATAATAAGGGTTTAAGTTTTTTACTAGATATATATAATCTTAAGTTCTTTTAATTGTCTGTAATGTGAGAATGAAATCTGAATTAGCTGCTAATCTATTGATAATAATCTTAGAGAGTATGATAATAAGCTTTTGTAGAAGTATGTTACCAAATTGGATGAAGTAGGGTCAATAAAAGGAAGAAATATGGAATTCAATTTTATCGTTAGCCTTGCAACGTTTACACTTCCATTAATATCTAACGTGCAATTCATGTTGTTTCACATCATTCTGAGGTAAGAGCTCAATTACTTAGACAACCTCAAAAGTGGCATTCAATTAAGCCCAAAAAACACACCATGCAAGTTGCAAAATTACAAGAATTAGATGTGAAGGCCAAGTAAAAGGAGAAGAATACAACAATTAAGATTCCCTTTCCTTGTTCTCTGTATAGATCATCATGTGTCCATTAAGTTTGAGCCAAAGCACAAGAATGCATCCATGGTGACGAAGTCAGCGAGGTCACGGTGATAGCTGATTGGAAAAGTCATGACAAAAGCTCGCTAGGGGTGGCATCAAAGGAGACAAATTGACTCGTGATAAAAACTTACATGAGAATGCATTGGCAGGACTAGCAGCTAGGTTCATGATGGGAGTTTGCTAGGGAAGACAATGATGGGAAAAACAAGGATTGAGGGAAATCATGAGAGTTCACAAAAGAAGGCATCGACGAGACAAACTGGCTTTCAAGCTAATGAGCAGAGTTTCAACAAGCTTGAACTCAAAATCTAACATTGAGTCCGAGTTCATGGCCTGATAAGATCGATCCACAAGCTAGTCGGTAAGCCAACTTAGCTCATTCATACCCTACATTGCATGTAATGCAAACACATAAAAAACTCAATTATGATTCACTCAATGAGCCTTTCACTTCTCAATGACTTCCAAAACTAATGATGATAGATATAATAGAGACTTGATTTACATGAATAATTATCATGCTTAGTAAATTCATAATCAAAAACTAAAAATTACATGCATAACTAATTAATGATATGTGGAGCATGCATCAAGAGGATGATGTGGATAAGGCCAAGTTCTAACTTCTAAGGGAGATGCCAACCACACTCTGATGCCAATCTCGACCTCAGCCATAGCCGCCATCAACCAAACACACCCCAAACATCCAAGCCCGTGCCTCCTTTACTTCGATCTTCCTATTTCCACAACCCCAATCACCACAGACCATCACTTGGCCAACCAACCCCTTATCTCATTCTAGCTCTCCCTCTACTCTCTCACTATCTCTCTATCCCATCTCTCTCTCTCTAAAAAACAACAACATCCACCATCAACTCCATTGATTTCTCCAATTTTTCATTTAAGATAATGATCCAGTGCATTTCCCTCCAAAATAAATTATTTCCTAACAAAACTATCTTCCCTTTCTTCTACAAGACACCTTTGCCCACATCCACCATCAAATTCACCGACTTCTCCAATTTTTGCATGGGTGCTCATTGCAAATAATAGAAAGAATACAGCTTCAACTCTCGAAAGTGGAGAAGAAGCTACCATTGGAGTTGAGCACTGTGACAGGAAGTCACTAGATGCCATTAGAACAAGTGGCAGAGGTGTTCAACACCAACATTTGTGGGATCATTGAGTGAAGTTGGGATGGAGATCTAAATTCTGGCTGGAGTTTCCAGAACCTGATGGTCTTTGGGTGTAAAATGAAGAAAAAGATACGATTATATATATATATATACACACACACACACACACAAAACACATATACACACTTATAAG